TCTCTCTCTCTCTCTCTCTCTCTCTCTCTCTCTCTCTCTCCCCCTTCCTCCCGCTCTTAGATACAGATAATAAAAATAATCCAACAAAGTGTGTGCGATCGTTTCACAATCGCGCAATCGGTTTTTAAAATTCAAATTACATATCACGTAATTCTTGCCGTTGCACGTTATCGTCACGTCGCCGTTACCTCAATATAGAATTTGAATAATGAATCTGAAAATAACACGACGGGGGTTTGATTTGACCTTACAATGACGCTCGATATAGCAATCCGTTGCAACTATTCGATAATTGGAAATCGAACGATTTTGACACGCCAATTAAGTTTTAGATGCAAAAAGATCACGAAAATCTATATCGTTCGGTATAATTTTCTCTTACCCTTCCCCTCTTTCGTATACCGTACTTTTGATGGACTTTTAATTCGGACTTTTAATTGATCAAGTACATTTTAATCATGTTTTATACAGAGTCCAAATAAAACAAAGCCGATCTATTGCTATACTTCCAATTAAGTTTCACGAAGTCTATAAACTGAGAGAAGAGAATCGCAGTACCTATAAAGTTTCGAGTAAAGTCACATCTCTTAGGAACAAAGATACATTTAGAGAGATATTGTTAATTAAAAGATAACAAAGGTAACGTCACATATCTCTCGAAGATAAGACTAGTCGGAAGTAATCAGACGGAGGGTGGAGGGGGGGGGGGAGGGAAGCACGAGCGAAAGTGTCTACTTTGGCGCGCAGCGGGACGCGAAAGCGTAATTTTAGAGCGAAGGAGAAAGGTCCAGGCTCTTTCGAGCGATACGCATGAAAACGCACGGGATGACGGCGACAGCGAGGACGGATCACATCGTCGAAACGGTCGTCGGGATCAGGCCGGTGCACGCCGTTCGGCGCGATCGCGTAGCAAATAAAGTCGTTGACACGTAGACAATGAGACCGGCGCGACGACGAGAATGAAGGTGCTAAATATCGAAGATTCAAGCTGATTGAATCGTTATCGCGTACGCGCTCGCGCTCTATACATATACCGAAATCATCCACGTTGAGGGGGTAATCACACAATGTAATCGACAGTGTGTGTGTCCTCGAAATCATTTTACAAAATTGAAATGAGATCCTCATGTACAATACGAGTATAATCCGATCGTTACATATGCAATCATGAGAAATCATTGTGTAATATTAGATAAAATCGTTTATTTTTAAAATAATCGTATATAATAATCGGTTTATAACCGTTTATTTTTAAATGAATCATTCGATGAGTTAGTAGTATTTTGCCAAATGACAATTCACATGTAGTTGGATTCTAAGTGAGAATTGCACCAAATTGAGATTAAAAACGCATCTCTTTTCGAAACATATCAAATTTATTTCGCTGACCAAGTATAATTCTGCGTAGAATCTTCCACACCTTTTTTGCCATGCATCTTATGGCATTAGAAAACGAAAAATGTAAAAGGAAGTCTATTACTTTTAGTTCTATACCATTTTTAATTAATTTTACATGAATTCTAACTGAGAGTCGCAAGAGGCTAAAGTTATAAAGATGTCCACCTAGATAATCTCAAATTTGTTTTGCTGACCAAATATAATTCTGCATGAAATTCTCCATACTTTTGGCTGCGTTTTGTGTAGGTGTCAAAGTGAGAAATGCCAAAGTAAATCTATTACTACACTTTCAACTTTATATAGATTCTAATTGAAAATCGAGTCCCCTCTCAAGGTTATTGCTGAAGACGAATCTTTTTCTTAGACAAATTAAATTTTCGGCACTGATCAAATATAATGCCGTATGAAATTTTTCATATTTTTTTTAGCTGCGTTTATTGTAGGTGTCACAGTAAGAAATGCCAAAGTTTATTACTCTATACTTTCAACTAAGTTCACATGAATTCTGACTGAAAATTGTAGTCTAAAGTTACGACTAGTAAAAAATACACGTCTTTCTAGACATCTCAAATTTATTTCACTGATCATAAGTATAATTCTACGAGAAATTGTTCATACATTTTTATGTTCTTTTTTGTGTTAGATGACGAAATAAGAGAGAATAGCACAGCAAAGTAATTCTATTATTACATCTTCAACTAATTTCGCATGAATTCCAACTGAGAATCGTAATCTAAGGTGCGACTAATGAAGACTCATATCTCTTTCCGCACATATCAAATTGAATTCGCTAGCCAAGTATAATTCCGCGTGAAACTTTCCACACTTTTGGCTGCGTCTTGTGTACCTAGGTGTCAAAGTGAGAAATGCCAAAGTAAGCAACGAAGCCCAGGAGTTGTCGTGAAACCGGGGAGCATCGCGATAACACGTTTGACGTGTGTTAAAAATAGAGTTCATTTAAATTCATTTGAAGAATTCGAGGAGCGCGCAAGGTGCGCGCGAGAAGAAAAGAATAAAAAGAAGAAGGGACGGTGCAGGCGCGCTCGCGTTCACGCGCCGCGCGAACCGCGAGCAACAAGTAGAAAAACAGTGCCGCGTGGTACCAACCTGTCGCTCTTGTCGACCACCGCGAGAGGCGCGAGCTCCTGGAGCGGCGGCTCCGCGGATATTCCCTGGGCACGGTCGCGGGTACGCGGCTTCGTCGGGGTGAGCGGCGGCGCCGCGCTGAACGGCAGGATACTCAGGAACTTGTCGAGGTGGCTGCGCAGCTCCTGGATCTCGGCGTCGCGGCAACAGACGACGGCCTCGAGCTCGGCGATCCGCTCGTCCTTGACGCGCAGCAGCTCGTGGAGCTCCCTGAGGGTGCCCATCGTGGCGATCGCGGCTGCACCACCGCCGGCGCCGAAGTGGAGCGGCACTTGGGTGATTTGCGTGGTGGTGGCGACGATGCCGCCGATGCCGCCGTCGACGGCCGCGGCACTCGCGCCGTCCGTCGGCAGCTGCGACGACGCACCGGCGACTACGGCGTCCTCCTCGTCGGCGCGCGGCTGCTGCGACGACGAGAAGCACAGCGAGTCGAAGCACACGCGCATAGACACGCAGGCGTCGCCGATGGGCACTCGGTATTTCGTACCCTCGTCCATTCAACTTGTTGTGGTGGCGGTGCGCGAGAGAGGAGAAGCCATATACGCGGAGCGTCGCGACCCGACGAGGACGTCGTCGGTCGTTACTATCGCGCGAATTCGCGTGATACGCGGCTCCCGAAGAGCGGCGGACCGACGTCCTCCACCGCCACCGCGACGCGACGTCCCGCGTCCCGTTGCTCCCGCGTCGTGCTTGTCGGTCGAACGAGAGAGCGAGCGCGAGCGCGGAGTGGGAGGGAAAAGGACGGAGCGAGAGGAAGGGAGACAGTAGGAGACAGGGTACGATGGTTGGACGGAGACGGACGTGGCGTTGGAGGAGGAAAAGGCGCGACAGGCCAACTCGTCACATGCTCGACGAACTGATGTAGGTACACACAACGTACTCTGCAGTCAATTGAATTTACTTCTATCCTGAATCGCTTGATTGTGCTCGGTGAATAAGAGCGCGAACTTCATACTCGATCGTCGATAACGTAGGACAGAAAAATATGACTTGTATTTACTTTTACGTAACACATTTCTCTTATGTAACTCTTTTTACAACTTATTACTTTTTCATAACTTTGAGATTTTGATAAAATTTTACGATTAAAAAAATATAACAAAAGAAACTATTGAATATACAAAAAATTACAAATAAAACTTATTCTATATACAGTATTTTGTATATCGGTTTAATAATAAAATTTAATAATAAATGGTAACCAAATTTATTATTCTTACATAAATACCTTTATATAAACATTGCAAAAAAAATATCCATATAGCATCTGTGCATATATATATGTACAATGAAATATGTACAAGTTATAAATTAAAAAAAACCATTACATTTTAATTGCGCTATTGAGATTTGTCATTGCGGAAGAAGAGGTTCGCTTCCTGTCCTTAGCACGGTTTTCGTAACGTTCGTGAGCTCGTCAAAATTACACTGAAGTTTCTCACTTTTCTGTGTCTCTTCCGGCTCCAGAAATGCCTCGTTCAAGCAGACGTTGTTCAAGCTGACGGCGCTATTTGAAAAGATAGCCGTGCCAAGATTTGGATTTTTCATATCGACACTATTGGCACGATTCTTCAACGGGGATTTCGTGGGAACGTCGTCTTTATCAGGCTGCATGTGCGACGACATTATGTCGCACGCCTTTCCAAGAATAATTAAACTGTTCAAAATACGAAGAGATACTAATACAAGATAAGCTAATAATAGAAGTATGATATTAGCGGGTCTCGCGGATGGCGTCAGGGTCGTACATAATACACGAGCCATGGCTACTCCCAGAGGAAGAGGTATAAAGCCCATTCGCCGTGCAACCAAATCTGAAGGATCCGAGAATGCCGTCTCTCGACGTGTCTGTGCCATGTCATAAGCCAAACTCACGGTATAATCCCTGTAGACGGTCGAAGGCAGCTCGTTGAAACGAGTGATGAACGCATGTTTCACCTTTACAGAAATACACTGGAGATGATCTTGTACAATTTACACAAGACTTACTAATGGTAAACAAACGAGAAAATATAAATGATACAAATGATTCGAATAGTTTAGTCGTTTAGTGATACAAACAATATCAGTTCGATGTTTGGTCGAATATTTTTCTCGTTTGCATATATTTTCGTATATAATACACAATTATTTTACAAACCCAGTCAACGAGAACTTCTGCCAACAATAACGTCACGCAATCAGGTAACAAAACAGCGAGACGATCGCTATGCCATGCGTACTCTTTCATCGTTTGCAGACTCACTGCAAGAAGCAGCATAATCAGATGAAATCTTTCTCTGACGTCGGCGCAAGATAATTGAAACAAATTGTTCTTGTCAAATTTCTTGAAGACAGAACCCTTCAATTCTACAAACTAAAAGTACTCCGTGTAAAATACTTTATAAAGAAAAAAACGACTGCTTTATCTTTCCTAATGCAACTTACGTTGTTGGACATCATAATAGTGAGGAGGGCCTTATTACTGCTGTTAATTGCCACGTTTAATGTTGTCGCTTGGAATAATACCAATATACTATGTAACACTTTATGAGAAAACAGTCAAGGTAAACATATCTTGTTGTGTCTTAAATCTATTCCGATTGGATTAATCATAACGATGCAATTAATTAAAAAGGATACACACATAAGTGACGGCAAACAGGAGATGCGGTAATGTGCCAAAATGTTTCGTACGAGTAGAATTCGAACGTGATTGTGGCTCGGTGGCAGTCCAAAGCAGTGCATCAATAGTATCTTGGCCAAAAGCACTAAAAAGACGATCTCCTACTTCTAGCATATTATAAAATATATATAACTTTATAACTGATTGACTCTTAACTAAGTGATACATCATGGAAGTGTCCACCTTCCAAGTTGCTGCCCAGCAACCCACTACTACAATTCCTTTTAACAAATCGCATACTTCAGCTGGACTCAAATATCTTTCCTTACTTTTTGCATGATCTTTTTCACTCCTACCCCTAAAAATGAGGTCGGTTAACATATTTAGGTAAACAAATATCTTTCATTCAAAATTGATATCTTTTGTATACCTCAGGTAGTGCCGTAAAGGTCTTGTAATCACCGCCCACAAAGCCATTGCAAACCTTAGCGGTAAAAATGTATACACAAATAGAAAGGAATCGGCACACTACAATGACAAAAACAATAAAACCTAATATGTAATGTACTTAATTATTCTAAGATTTTAGCTATCATTCTATTCTCGCGATAGTATTTATTGTATGTCGTTGTACCTGAAGGAATCCATATGCCATAAAGTTTTCCACTTCTCTAGGAATTTTCATAAATGAGTAAACCTTCTCTCTTCTTGCGGAAAATCTCTCCTCATCATGCTCAAGCTGATAACCCCTCGTTAACTCTGTCCTCAAAAATTGCATCAACGATACCCCTATGAAAAAAAAAAAGAAAATATATGTTTTTAATGAATAAAACATAAATTCAATATTACTTGAACAAATTTTTCCTGATGTACGAAAAATGTTCTCGTGTTATTTCATATTTTTAAGAATTCATCATAATTTATGAAGATATTTCTGAAAAAATATCTTGTATATACTTCTTCAAATTTTAAAAGTTTTTACAAAAATTAAAAAATGAAAAATTTTAGAATTAAATCTTAAAACATTCAGTTTACATGTATGAAGAATTTCAGAAAAGATATAGAATTTTTCAACTTTTATAAGAAATATTGCAATATAAAAAATCTGAGAAAGTTTTGTAAAAAATTATAAAATCATACATAAATTTTGAAAAATTATGAACAACTTTTTTTTATTTTTCATATTTTCATATTTTATATAACAATAATAACTAATAACTTAATAATTAGTGCAAAAAAAAAAATAGGATTTATAACAAACGTAAACATAAAAAACCTGCTAAAAACTTTGCAAGAATTATTTCTTTCATAGTTGCATTTTCCTTTTTTTATATATAATTTTTCAATTGTAGTAAATCTTGTAGAAAATTTTAAGATTGTTATTTCCGCGGGTGATTAATATCTTATCTAATCTAATGGAGTATGTGTATGTTTGTGTGCGCTGTTGTGTCATCATTTTTTTCTTCTGATTTACACATCCATTTCACTGTGCTGTATCGATAATTACTGTATCCCTGTACATACCATATCACACAGTTTATCAAGGGACGAACTTAGGACACCTCTTGGAAAACTGTGTTGTGACGGATGTAGCCAATTACTTACGTTGCTTCTTCTTCTGCGCATCTTGGCTGTCGGATAATTGCGACCTACAGTGCGTAAGATCCACATTCTCCACACGCTTGTCGTGACATGATATATCAGTCTCGGGCTTGTCAGTACCGCGGAATCTAATCGTCCTTTTCTCTGGCCAATTTTGCCCCATATTTTCATCGCTGATGCACGCGTTTTGCATCGCTATGCCAACGTTAATCCTCAACGAGCGTCCACACAAAGTTTGGTCATTCTATAACCTCACGACAATCATAGCCGCATCACGTCTCACGATTAAACCTCGACGATGCTTGATACTGCGCTGCTCTGAGCGAACTGTCACAACACAACACAAGCTACTGGAGTCTACGAGACGACTGGCAAAGTGGCAACGCGCGTCATATACGGACCAATACGGACGGTGACAGCGCCGACAATGCTATGTCTGGTAACCACGTAATGTTGATCCAGACTTCTTTTATGATTCGACAGCTGTTTTAAGATCATTTGACACCTTCCTTTTTTTTACTGATACATTTACAAGATCTTTCTAATACTGTAAATTATAATTGTCGATAATTTATGTTCTTGTCATTATACATCATATGTGTGTGGTAAGACGAGATTATCAAAGGTTCAATTATCAACTATCGATAAACAAGAAAAAACTATCTTGCGAACACTTTTATTTTCTGAATTTGTATTTGTAAAATAATTTAGATATGTTTATTATTTTAATATAATTTTTACTATTTTATTTTAATATAGTTATTACCATCCTTAATATGCCCTAACTCAGCTTATTTATGAATAATAAAAATTAATATATGATGCATATTATTCTTTTTCTTTATAAATTATGATGATTTTTGACAGATGATGTCTCACACACATACGCAATTTCATTATGCAATATTTATAATTTAAATAAATCAAGCTATATTAAAATAAGTTCAAATAAGAAATATTGATTATATACCATCATAATGATGTCACATACTTCCTTGACTACGAATCTGATGTGAATCAACAACATTCTGATACGAGTCTAAAGCTTTTTCCATATATAATTTCAGGATAGTTCACAAAGAATTGTGTGATACAACATACCACAATGAATACCTCAATTGCAAATAACACTTCTGATCCATCTCCTGATACTGCTAATAATATGGAACTGTCAGGGAGTCAAAAAGTCACAAGAAAGTTTTGGATAGATACAAAGTCTTTAAATGTGCCAGATGTTCTGGATCCAGATGACTCCTTGATGACAAGATTCCAAAATGCTCTACGAGAACATCTTGTTCGCGTCGACAATAAGTTAAATAGTGAAATATTAGAGTTTGTAAGTACTTGAATCCTTAATTTTCCTAGACTTAAAAAATTTTGTCTGGTAAGTAAAAAGAAATGTTGTTCTCATTAAATATTCATCACAAATATTTTAGGAAGCTAATATAAAAGCTGTACAGAAGGAACGTGAAACAGAAGGTTTAAAACTGTACTATGCGCAACAGGAAATAGCACAACAGCAAATGACAATTGAGAAGTATCAAAACATGATAGCAAATATAATTTCACTTCGCGAAGAAAAAGATACATACGTAAAAAATGTCAAAGAAATTCATAAAACTACCCATGTTAAATTATTAGAAGAGAAAAAGAAAGAAGAAAATCTCATGCGCGAATTAGAACAGCTCACTGATTTGGATGCGCAATTCTCGAAATGGCAAACGGAGCTTGAAAATAGCTTAATTATTTCTAAACAAGTGTCAAAGAAAGATAAAGCAATTCAACGAGATCTAATTGCTCAGAAACAACAGAAAGATTGCATAATATATAAACTCATGGAAGAAGTTTGGAGAATTAAAAACGAGATAGCAAATTTAGACATGCAACTGCAGTTGAAAAATAAAGAAAAAATTCAGATAAATCAGATGATCGTCGACGTTAATGCTGATCTAGAAATGTTGCATAAGCAGCATACAAATTTATGCAACGCCTGGAATTCGGTTGTACTAAATATTACTAAACGGAACAAAGTTTATGAGCAACTAAACACAGAGCGTGAGTACGTAATATCTCAATAATCTTTAACGATTTGAGTGAATAAAATTGTAATAGGGGAGATAATAAATTAATAACATACAATACTATCATAATTTTAAGTCGCATCTATGACTTTAATAGAAAAAAAAATTGTCCCGGTAAAGTTTCCTCTACCGTCATTTGCTTATGAAATACTACAATAACGAATATTTTTTCAGGAAAATATGTGAATCTTTTAATACGTTACATACGGAAATAGAGAAGTTAAAAAAAGAAACTTATAAGGAAACAGAAAATAATGAGAATCTAACCTCATTGCATACACGAATAGAAGATAATATTCAGAATAATACAAAATTGGTAGAAATCGGAAATGATAAACTTAATAATTTGGAAACTGAATTAGTAAAAATGGCAAAATTTAGTGAACAGGAGCAACATGAATTTGATTCAGCTCATAATGTATATAAATATATTTATTAAAAAAATATATATATAACAATGTTAAATTATTAATTAAAATATATCTCTATAAAATATTATTTTCATATGCAATTATATTATTATTTATAACAATCTTGTACTTTAGGAATGGCAATATTTGTTACATGAAGAGGAAGAAATAGATAGAGAATTCATAAAATTTCTGAATAAGCAAAATGAATTAGAAAAAATAATATATAGTAAACTGGAAGAAAAAGTTGCGCATAACAAAGCAGCGCGATATTTGAATAAATTATTATTAGATTCTAAAGAGTCAATACAAGAACAAGAATTGTTACTAGCAGAAACAGAAAATTCATGTGGCAAAAAGTTATTGGAATTAGAACAACTTAATTCTAACATATCTTATGAAAAGATGGAATTCGACGAACTTTTACAAAATAATAATAAAAAAGAGAAAGATATAGATGAGATTCAGAAAGAAGTCAAGAAACATGACACAGCAATCGAGAGGAAACAAGTAAAAATTATCAACTTGAATAAAATCACTGAAGAGGTAAGAACATTATTAACAAAAATTCTATTATACGAGAATATTAAATATTTATACACCATTATTCCTTCTTACAGATATTATCGCATAGAGAAAATGGAGAAGTTAATCCTCTTGATATGAAAATAAAAACCTTGGAAAAAAATATAGAAGAAGTTCAGCATAATAATCAGAAAGCACAACAATTATGGATTCGCCAAGAAGGATATATGATTACACTGAGTCAACAGAGAGATTTACAATTGCAACAATTTAATCTTCTTAATAAAGAAATTATGATTATGGAGCAAAAAAATTTGAAATTAGAGCATGCTTTGAAAATGCTTGAGAAGGAAGATTCGAACATAGAGAGAACATTAAATCTTCTACAACAAAGAATAGTACAATTAAATTCACAATTAGTCATTCAAAAAGGACTGAAAGAGGAACTAGAGGATAAAAATTCTATTACAAAAACCGAAGGAATACAATCTCTCGAAGATGCAGAATTAAATCTAATAAAGCTGCAAAATGATTTAAAACGATCATATGAAGAAAAAGCACTTTTGAAGGATAATCTAGATGCAGTGCAACAAGAAAGTTTATCATGGGAGAAGAAAGTAATATTTTAGATATCAAGTACTATATATTTTTATTTGTATCAAGAAGAGAGAGAGAGAGAGAGAGAATCATAATTTTTAATTTATGCTTTTAGGTTAAGTTAATGCAAGAAACGATGAAGAAAATGAAAGAAGAACGTAGTAATGGTGGCGATATCTCAGCGATGAAAAGTGAAATTCACAAAATGGAAATGCGCCTCTCACATTTGCGCAGGGTACAAGAAAAATTGATCCATGATATGGAGTTTTGTGTTGCACGAAGAGATATTATATTAGACAAAGTCATGAGCAAACTCAAAAGAGACCCTAAAGGACAACACAATCAGAAAGTTATATTCCGTAAACGTCTTGCTGATCAAAAATTAAAGATAAAACAAATTGTGAAGGTAAAACTCAACTTAAATTAAGTTTAACTGTAACTTCTTTAATGGAGTGTTTATTCTAGGATACAAAAAAGATTGAAAATAGAATATTGGAGCTGGAAAATCAAATAAAGGATTCAGTAGACAAATGCAACGAATCGCAAACAGTATTGAAAATGGTACAAAATGATATCCCAAATTTGGATCAAGGAATTATACAAATAGAAGCTATTAAATATCATGTATGTAAAATGAATAATTCAGTTTTTTAACTTCAGAATATTTTAAATTATTATTTATTTATAACATTAACATTACAACTAAAAAAAATCTTCTGTTACATGCAGAATTTGCAGGCATTAGTTTTTAAGCAACGAAAAGCTAAAATGCTACAAGACATTAAAAGTGGCCGATATAAAATGATTTTCAAGGGTGAAGCTACATTAAGTGAAGAATTCCAAAATGAACAGATTCTTCGTGACTATTTGAAACATGTAATGGAACGAACGAGTCAAGATTTCCCTTTATTAAAAAACAATATTCAAAAAATACTTTTGACATTAGAGATAGTATAAAATTTTAATGTACAATTAGTAAAAGAAAAAGATAAAACAATGCTATATATTTAATAACAATAATTGTAATTTATAACAACTGCATAGTAAATACGTTTTGATTATAAAATGTATACTTATGTAGAGTGCACTCCTTTAATAAAAGCCTCCATGGATGAAATTGGAGTATCTGGTAAAATGCCGTGTCCCAAATTAGCAATATATCGAGTTTTACCAAAATTTGACACCATTTTTTGTGCACGATCAACGATTTCATCCTAAAGACAATATAATGAATAAATTTAATATTTTTATAATATTTGTAAATATTTCTCATCAGTGATTATTATTGTATATTAACAATACTGTTACTATTATTATTCTAATTACTATTTTTTTCAGTAATCATATATAAAAGCTAATATAAAATAATTATATTTAAAATTGAAATTATATAATTTTTATAAAGAGGTAACATACCTGTGAAGAATACATTGCACATGGATCCATATTTCCTTGTAATGTAACATTAGTACCAAGATGTTTTCTGGCTTCTATGGGATCTACAGTCCAATCGAGGCCTATAACTTCATAACTCTGATCCATCACAAGAATTTTTAAAGAATTCATGGTTGCGCCTTTTGGAAAAGCAATCTAGAAACATGTTCGAATATATCTATTTATATCTATTTGATTTGTAAAGTAATTTGCTGATTAGAAATAGTTATAAAAACATTTTAGTATACCATAGGCACTTCTGGAATATTTGCTTCTTTCAGCTGCTTTCGTACACATTCACTAATTTGTTTGAGGTATTTAAAAGAATAATTTGTAAATAATGCATCGTCCAAATAATTTCCATTACTTTCAAAAACTTGAAGTAACTTGAAGAAAGGATATAATGGTTATTGCTTTTGAGTTATATAATTATATACCACACATAATATATTTTAAGAGTTCTTTCCAACAAAAGAAAAAATTATTCTTTGAATTATACCTGAGCACCAGCTTTCACTTGCATTACTAAGTAATCCACAATAACATCTGTAATCATCTGTAACAATTTATGAGTATCTTCTGGATACTTATATAACCAGGATCTTGCCTTTGCCATTGTAGAACTGCCTCCTCCTTGGATCATGTAACCCATCAGAGTCCACTGAAACAAATCAATTATTTTATATTAATATGTAATATATAAGTACATTAAAATGTAATATACAATAAAAATAAATAAATATCTTAGCAATAAAGAAATTATTAATTAATATATTCACACTTTGGTTTTTTTGGTTAATATGAAAATACTTACAGGAGCTCCAGTGAATCCTATCAATGGTACTCTACCATTCAACTTATGTCGAGTTAATGTTATAGCATCTCCAACATACTTCAGAGCATTATTTACATTTGGTCGTATGAGTCGTGCTAAATCATTGGGATCAGCTAAGGGCTGAGGCAAGACTGGACCCTAACACAGATACTTATTTATAGATAATAAAGAGACAATAATGTATGTGTAAATCTGGAGTATACAATGATGAATATCATTTGATTGTTATGTAAAAATAAATAATTATGAGAGAGTGCTTACTACTCCCGGTACCATCTCAACTTTCAGGCCCATTGCCTGAGGGATCACTAGGATATCTGAGAATATTATACTGGCATCTAGATCGAAACGTTCTATCGGCTGTAAAGTCACCTGACATGCCAATTCAGGAGTTTGGCAAATTGTAAAAAAATCATGCTGTGCTCTGACTTCTTGAAATTCTGGAAGGTACCTTCCCGCTTGCCTCATAACCCAAACTGGAATTCTGTCCACTGGCTCCCCACGTGCTGCCTTCAGTATTCGATCATTTTTCAAAGGTGGAAAATTGTGCTCAATCATTCTGATAGTCCTCTGCTTTACGTTTTCTAAAGTTTTATTCCTGAATAATACAATAATATTCCTCATGTTTTTATTTCAAGATCTTTTTTTTCTATTTTAAATCATTATAGTAATTCATAGAAAGTACATACAGTATTTAATTTCAATTGTTGCAAAGTACACAGTAATTCTCCGCCAATATATTTACAACTTCACTCACTGTTTGCGAATTCGATTTTGTGATAAAAAACTATCCATGATAGGTCTGTTCTTCGTAGCTACACCTGCTACACTATATTATACTTCCTGCACTTAAAATGAAATAGGTATATACATGATGTAAGAAAACATCATGGGTATATATACATCTTACATCATGGGTATATATACATTTGGAGAAAAAAAGAAAAAGATATAAACATCGAAAAGTTCAATTACAAAAGACAGTAAATTTTCTAAGGCTACTAAATGGCATGTATTTTTCAGGGCATAAAATATATTAAATTTTATCCGGATTTAACTAATGCACCCTGTATATTATCAGATTACATTTCTCTGAATATTTCCATGAACACTTTATATCGTATAATATATATAATTTGACGACTATTTCTTATGTCAATGTTACTCTCGTACTTATTTCTTGTCTACTTCATATTTATTAGATTAATAAATTGTTGAATGTGAATGCGTCTTGTGTAACCCAGCTAGTTAGATCTATGGGTAAGAACCAATCATATTTGACTGATTCTTAGTAGTTATTCTAAACACGACTGAAAGCAACCATTGTTTATTCTTTGCTGTTTTCTACGCTGAGAATGTCAAACCAGCTTAAGAATTTTTTAATCAAAACTTGTTCTTGGTGTAAACATTGTGTGTAAACCACAAAAGGACAAAGGTGACCTGTGCTACATAAATGGAATCTGAATAGTATCGTGGAATATATAAAATATATAAATTATATAGATTAATCGTTGAAATATAGCGCAATATCTGCTTGAAATTTAGCTATTTGGCACATATTCAGTAAAATATATTTTGTGCTGTGACTCAGTTTAAGAACTTTTGGATTTTGGTCCACAGTGTGTTTGATAAACCTTTGAAGAAACTACATAAATTTTTGTTTTACAAGATAGACGATGGATGACGTAAATATTAACGAAATATGTCTTAATAATGATATGGAAGTGGTACAATTGGATGGAGATGAGGACGATTGGATAAAATTAAATTGGATTATCGAGCACAGTGATAATGGCAATAATTTACAATCACCAGAGACACCAGAGAAGGTGAGTAATAATATAGATATAAAGTGTGATGTAATTAGAACTTGAATATTATATAGATACAAATGATATAAAAATAGAACTGAATCAACAAGATGCTAAACATTTTCTATTTTTAAAGGATTCAGATAATGAGATTGCACAAACAAAAGATAATGATAGTAAAGTATCTTGTACAAACACGGAATCAGAGGATATGTCTGATGGTATATCAGTCATAACAGAAAGTGATACAGATGTTGTTAATACAAATCGCTTCCAAATTTGTCAATTTAATCGTAAGCCATGCAAATCCCCACAAATACTAGAACTACAAATAAATAAACAGGTATTATAGTAATCGTATTTAGTTAAAACTTGGTATTCCTGCATTATCTAACAATAAGATTATATTTCAAATATCTTTAATATTTTCTAGATAATAAGGTTTAAATCTATTTTTTATTATAGAAAGATATATGGAATATTCTTATTGCTTATATGTTTGGTGTAATTGTCGGTGTGACTCTTAGTTATTTTTTCATAAATATTATGTTCACCTATGCTAAACCTGTTAAAACCTATCCAGTTTCAAATGGAATTGATGTTGAAAATCTTAAGACTGCAAGTCATAACATTGTTAATACTTGCGAGGAATTGACAGATGGTAAAGATAAAATAAACTTAATGTTTTAAGAGGTCCAAGATTTATTATAGATTCACATTATTTACATCATAATTTTTACTTTTAGTGAAAACTATGTTGAATGAAATTAAAGCACATATGCCAACTGATATAAAGATTACAGAGCAAATTTTAACACAGTTTTTCGAAATTACTGATTCTTCTAGTAAAACAAATAATAAACCTGTTATAATTACTAAAGAATTTTTCAATTCTACTTTATATCCATTGGAGCAACTTCAAAATGTTCTACATGTATTGTCATCATTGAAATTTATTTATGATGATAATAATTCTTTAAAAAATGACATAAACAAGACACTGGATATTGTAAATAATACAAAAGCATTTTATAATACATTGATATTACTTATGAACAACACACAGATTGTATTCGATCCTATTGTCTTGAAGTAAGTATCATAATAAATAAAGATGTTTATGTCTAAATAATTATTATTGTATATTTAAGTTATTATATTATTTGCAGTTTCTTGCAATACAACAGTGATAAAATGCATATTACTTCTAAATCACTTCTCGCTAATTTAGTAGAAAAGATGAGCAAAGTAATATTAAAAGTGTATAATAAATATGCTAAAGAGAAACACAGATTGAATAAAACATTGTGTCATTTGAAAAGTATCCTACCTGATGATAAATTCTTAAAGCAATTGACCAAGAATAATCAGCTGTTTAAAGATCATGATAAATTTTGTTTTTCAAATTATCCAAATATTTTGCTATCAAAAAATTTGGATAGCAAAACGACTACACAAGAAAATACAAAAAATGTAAAGGAGCATACCATAAAAACTGATGATACAGTATTAAACACAAAGTACAATAAAAAGTATACTTCTAAAATTTATGATAATGATAAAAAAGATTCTTCAAAAAATAAAAGAAATAAAAGAAATAAAAGACAAAATGTAGACAAATCTACTAATGTGAAGTAAGTATATGTAAATGACACATAATTTTTTTGTTTCTTCATTATTACCATGTAATTAAACTACTTTATCATTTAACAGATTTTTGCAAAATACTTATCATGAAATACATAACACTTCTCAGTTACTTATCTCTAAGGTAATAGAAAATATGAATAAATTAGGACATCAATTGAGAAAGAAACTATACCATTTGAAAAATATACTACATAATAATGAATTCTTAAAACAACTGATTGAGGATGGTGAAGAAGACATTAAAGAGTCATTTAAGTTTTACGAAGAAAAGAATGTTGACTTACAATCAGATGTAATGTCAAAAAATGGTTTTGATAATATTTTAATGCAAATGAAAAATACATGTCCACTTTCCACCAGCTATTGTCCAAAGTTTAATATTAATATGAGCACACTTGACACCGTACCGATTGTAAGTTGTAACTCTGTGTAATATCGTTAATTTTTTCATAATTTTTAAATTGTAAGTGAATAAAGATGTATATATTCAAAACAGTAAATATATTTAAAGATTTTATAATATAAAAAATGTTATACAATAAATATAAATAATAAATTTGTTTCAGCATAAAACAAAGAATTATGAAAAATATAATACAAATAGCAAGAGAACTGTAGTAGATCACGAAAATTCTGCAAAAAATTTGCGTGCCAAAGGAGAAAACAGACCAAAGAAAAAAGAATATTTCAATTCAAATGGTTTTACTAAAAAGATCATTAATGATAAAGTAAATTATAAGAAAAAGTATATATCCTCTCAAAATAAAATAAAGAATCACATATCAGAGCACACTGTTAATTATCATACATCTAAACATTCTTCGTTTGATAATCATGCAATGAAACAAGAAAATCAACACTATATAAATACAAATGAAAGGAATGATAATGAAAGGTATTCATTTCTAACAAAATACAATTTATCTAATACTGTAATCTATTACGAATTCAAATAATTTAATGCACTTACACAAATAATTATGATTCTTAAAAAATAATGCTCTTTTGTGCAGATCTTATAGATATAACAAGTATCGACAGCCTGATGATTCTGATTGGTATTTTCGACGAGTTTATTCCCGTAGAAATGCACGAAGACATACAAAACAAGTTGACGATTCGGATTGGTATTTTGGAAGAGTATATTCCCGTAGAAATGCACGAAGATGTGCAAAATATGTATCAATACTAGATAATTCTTAAAAAATTGTAGATGAATTATAAATTATTAACACGGACACATACAGAGATGTTGAGATGAAATATTTTATGTGCAAATTCTTGTATGTGAAGAAAATATCTCATATAACATATTCATATATGCTCAAATATTTCTTGAATATCCAAATAACTTTGTAAATATATAGATATCAAAATATTTATTAATATTGACAGTTTTGCTCTGTCACATAAAAATATCTATATATATATATATATATATTAAAAAAAAGAAATTTTTTAATCGAAAAAGAGAATTTCTTGAAATTACAAATATCGTGCCTCAACAAAAAAAAAAAAAAGAAATATAAAAGAAATTACATTAGACAGAAATCACATTTATGATATTATATTTACTTGTAGTTTTTGAAATCTTTCTCTTTAAAAAAATACATTTTCTTAACGAGCTATATATGACATTATGTATATTTACATGTTTTATATATAACCTTTTATTAAAAAAATAAGTAATTTAACAAAACTTTGAAATTTAACATAGTGGATATTCAAGAATATTAAAAGTTCATAATCTCTAAAATGAAATTGTTTCTAAAATAATTGTATAGAAACGGCATGTATGTGTGTTGCAGTGTTTAGAATCTTGATTACAATGTGATACGAAAGGATATGCAGTTTGAGCAATTTGGAGACCAATAATTATTGGTTTCAACTTTTTTTATATTTAATTTTATTTATTGATCTAAAAATATAATCAAAAGTATTCTGAAAAAATTTAAGATATATTTTAAACAAATAAGGATTGATTTTTATCACTGTGTCAATCCATTTTAGCAAATTTCTCTCAATCTGTTCTTACTAAAATTGTGACTTTGACTAGGACTAAAGAATACGGCTGGGTATTAAACCGTAAGAAATTGATCAATCACAGTCGATTATTTTTCTCGCATTCTATGATTGATCAATTTCTTATGGCTTTACCCTGGATCTACAATACGTGTTTTAAGCCTTAAGCCGTAAGAAATTAACTAATTACAATCGAATTCGAGGAGAATAATCGATTATGATTCGTTCATTTCTTATGATTTAAGGCTTACAACTATATTGTAGATCCGGGGTTATGTTATGGCTTAGGGCCTCTTAAAGCGAGATTGTGGACCCAGCCTTAAATTAGTCATTCAGTCAATTTTTATCTTGACTAGAGAGTTTGTTTCTTTTGTGTATGTAATATGATAGTAATACAGAGAAGAGGATTATTAATATTATTATGTATACATCTCTTAAGACTAAAGGTTTTTTTTTTCAAATATTTTAGTAAAAGTAGCATACACAGAACCATTTTTTTTTATTTCAAGACTGTTTTAAGTAATGTCTTAAGACTTTTGATGCTAATAATATGTTCTATAAAAATATTGACCTATACATATATATATATATATATATATATAAGAAAAAAAATATATATATATATATAACAATATTTTAACTATAATTTTCAGATTTATTAAATAAAATTAAGTAAAAAAGGTGAATTCAGTAATCTCTGCGTGCTTCCCAAATCACCCAAAGTGCATACCCCCCTTATTGAGTTTGCCATTAATGAATCTCATTAGTAGTAAAAAAAAATACAGGGTGATTATTGTAGATAGGATCTTCGAATTTAGTCTCGCGTAAATACGCGCAATTCGTGCGCATGAAGGAGTTTATACATGTATATGTGTGTGTGACAATGATGCTGTGATTGTACTAAGTGGTTGTCAATGAGAAAACAACATTCGCAGAGACCTCGTTTGTTTAATAGTTAGGATGCGTTTACACCTTGACAAAAAAGTAAAAAAGCCGCCAATCAGAATTCACGCTAAGTCGCTTTGTTAATGACAGAACTCAAGAATACACAAATTGTATATTTGTCAATCTACTATAAAGTCACAGTACCATGTAATAAAAGAGGATCCAGGGATCCACAATCTCCTCAGACAGCAGAGGCTTTGCTTGTTCAAAATTGTAACTTGTATCCTGTCATCAATACAGAGAGACTTAGCGCGTGTTTCTGATTGCTGCTTTTCTGTCAAGGTGTGAACGGTCCTTATCTTAAGCTGGGTCACGTCTGTAACAGTTGTTCATTTTTAATAACTTACCATCTCACATGGAAGAGTACAAGATATATGTATAGATAAGAGAAGAAAAAAGAGAAGATATACATTTTTATAACAAATAAATATATACAGTTTATAATTATATATAAATATATATTTTAGTTACCTCTCTTGTGATAGTTTTTATGATGTATTAATAAATATATATGTATATACATAACAATGAAAAACGTTCACAGCTAACTGCATATGTGTGCATTCAGAATGAAAAATGTAGCGACGGATACAATATATTACAAAAGTATTGTATATAGAGATAAAAGTCATACAATAAAAATTAAATGAGGTTTAAGTTTTAATGTTTGAAAAAATAATAAAAATTTACTCTGTATTGAAATAATTACAATTCAATTACAATGTATGGCAAATACCAAATAGAAAACAAATTTTGTTCGCAGTAGATTCACAAATATGTATTAATTTTACATTCAATAATTTATATTTGTAGAATTTATTAATTTATGAAAGAGTTTATAAAGGTTCTGTATAAATAAATTTAATTCTGAAAAATATATTTTTATGTGCAATCTTCCCCTCTCGCACACTGCGGACGAAATTTAAGAGTCACGATATCTGCGCACTTTCGCGAGATATATAACAAGTTTGTATATAAATATATCGGTTGGATCGGTTTCAAAGTATACGTCAACTACATCATTTCTCTTTCTCTTTTGCCTTTGTAAGAAGCAGGATTTATAAAATCCGAATTTACATCCAATATCATCTTTGTTTTTAGATGATTTCAGATTCTATCTATAGAGTATAGACAAAGAAATGTAGCATCAATGAGTATATCGAGATTATACATATTTGAGATGATTTTAATCATCCGCCGGCAACATATATGGAATTTTAATTCTTTCATTATATATAGCGATATTTAATTATATAAAAATTTGATATACATTTGTCAATAATTTAACAACAAATTTTTACTATCATAAAAATCGGATTGTGTTTTATTTTTACGGATTTAATTTAAAAATACATCTACCAGAATTCACAATCAAAATATCGAAGGTGTCTTTTAAACATTTCATGTCGACGGAAGATTTATATAAATATAAAATCAAAAGGTCGATTATATATTTTTTAAATGTGAAAAATAAAAAAGTGAGTAAATTCATTAGAATACTTATAATTTCATTGATCGTTACTTATGCCCGGTTTTTTTTACCAATGTAGATTTTAAAACTCTTCATCATTTTTTAGTTCTAAGTAGAAAAAGATGTAAAACACAAGTTATTAAACCGAGATTAAAATAAAAAAAATAGGAATTTGCTCACTTTTATAATTTTCAAGATATACACAATTAATTTCAATATTTAAAAAAAAATCGCAATTTACGCGAATTTTCATCGCAAGTTCCGCGAGAACAAACGCCGCGTCATCATTGGCCGATTCATGTTGGATTATGTTGAAAAGCCCAATCAACGCCCTTCTCCATGAGAAAACAATTCGTCGACTGCAATCACAACATGACGTACGTTTGTGACGTGTTCAACGCACATTCGTCGGAAATTGGGATCCATCGGTGATTGGAAACGAGCAAGTGGAGCAAGCATGGTGGACCGGTGGAATCGGTGCGTTCCAAAACTTGACTCTGTAACTCCGGGGGTATCTTTAGCCTTGTTCAACATTCAATGAGCAACAAGGATAAAATGATACTCGAGTTGATGGAGTCGAATTTTGGAACGCAACCCATGGGAGCAAGTGTGTTAAGTGTTTCCGCAAGTAAATCTCGACCCCGAGTAAACAACACGATCGCGACGGATAGCAAATGATTCGTTCGGCGGACTGTTGCGCTCTCAAACTCAAATGAGTGGCACGCACGATCGCGAACGGAGATTTCCATAATGGGCTCAACTAGAGGCCTAGAAAACAGAGATGCGGCATTGCGTCGGTTGGGTTAGGTAACCACCGCCATTTGAATTCAATGTAAGTGCTCTTGACCAATAAGCTGATGACAGTTGATGCAAAAGGTAGAAAGATTAGATTAGGTTAGGTTAAGTCCGATATTAAATATTCACACAAATAAGAATACTTACATCATAATAATAGTTGTTCATTGCACTTCGACACTGTATTGTCTAAATTTTTCTCTATATATATATGTGTACATACGTTATAAAACTATATCTATTAGATGCAATAGTGAATTAAAATGGCTCTCTGATCACGTGATTTAGACAGCCAATCAAGCCATACCCTTCAATGACGCATCTCTGTTTTCTAGGTCTCTAGGCTCAACCGCTCAAAAGCCGCATACCAGCGATCGCCGTTGATGTCGTAGCGACAAAAGAGCTCGCAGTGTCGCGTAAAAACCGCTTTGTCGCGGTTTATTTTTGCATTCGAAATCGCTATATTTTCGCGTGCAACACAATCTTAAAATAGATCGCGCCGACGGCGGCGGCAGTGACGGCAGTAACGTGCGTTGTATTTTCCGCGCGCTGGTGACGAGCGAAGAATATGAATTTTGAGGTTACCACGTCTCTCAGTGGGCTCAGCTGATCCTTTTCCTGAATCGTCTGAACGTTGCTCGAGCACGAGCCACTTGCGATGGCGAGGCTGGACATTTGGATGGACCCCGCCTGCGGGGTAATCGATGAACCCCAGCTGTCGCTGATCAAACGAATTTATTATTCAGCAAGGGACGGAATGGCGATCGCTCTTTATACCCTGCTGAACGACAAGTCTGACGCTGAAGTCAATTATCTGATCAACCAGGTAAATCGTAATATTTTGTTGCGTCACCTTTCACTTTTCACCGCTCGCGAAATTGCACTGTCCGATTAGTTGTTCATTCTATAACAAACCGTAATAAAAACTCTCTTAATTATGGATAAATATTGATCTTTGTCTTTGCTTGTTATCTTTTTTGAGAAAATTGCAATTGCAATAAGTATTATTGAAAATAATAAATTGCTAATTACAGGATGATTTATTTTAATTGTAATAGAGGTAAATATTTAGAAAATATGCATATTTTTTTAAACAAGATATACCAAATAAAAGTATGATATAAAGTAGATTTTATATCTTTTTATATAAATTTATACCATATACAACTTTATTTATGTCTTTTGGCAAAATTGCATATTTTCGAAATAATTGCTTGTTAAAATGAATTAATCATCCTATATATAATCATTTGATGTTTTTTATTTAATTAGTATTTGATTTTATTTCTTATTTAGAAAAAAGAAGTAATATGAGGCTTTTTAAATAATTTCAAAGTTATGCATATGTTACATTAAAAGCATAAAATTTATTGATTTTGGACATTTATTAATAGATATATGTTTATATATCTATTAATTTTAAAGTTTAGGAAAATAAAAAATAAGAAATGTGTTCGCTATTGCTAGCAAACAGTGCTTTTCGTTCATAATTATTTTCATCAGTCTAAATTAATTTTAATCTTGGATTAACTCACTATTTTTTCCAGTTGTAAAAATTATTAAAAAAATCAAGCACATACATAAATATTGTACTAGGATTAAAATTCATCTACATTGATGAAGATAGTAATCCAAATCCACAAACATTATTTCATTTTTTTTGTAATTCCATGAGTAACAAAAATGAAATAATACTTGTATTGATTTGTGTCATAAAATTGAGAATAATATATAAAAATTAAGAACAATATATGTTACATGTATTGTATATGTATATTTATTAAATACTTCAGTAAGCACATAGTATATAAATAATATAAATTCTCTGCAAATAACATCCTATCAAAATAAGGTTTGTTAATTGAACTGCAAGTGATATATTTTTATTTAATTAAAATAAAGAAACAGAAAAATGAATTATAAGTGCAATATGATTTTTTATTATACTTAAAATAAATAATTAAGAAAATTAAACAGAATTTTTCAAGAACTAACAAATTTTCATTTTTATTTATTGCGATAGACAAAATGGTACTTTGATATATTGTCTACACTTAAATTGAAATGTATGATAATGTATTATAACATAAGTATATGTTTACTAATAAACTTGATATTGTTTTGTCTGTTGAATTCTTTTACTGTTAATATAAATTTCTAGTAAATGTACATTTACCAATTTCATACTTTTATTATGACACAAATATTCTTTGTCTGGAGAACGAAGTTCTGAACAAAGGATATCTGTAAGAAACTATATGAAAGTATATATATATATTTTTTTAACTTCATTTCTTATTATATTTCTTAATCAATTGCAGTTTCTGATTTAAAATAATTAAGTAGAACTATTACTTGATTTACAGTATTATTTTTTGATAACAATTAAAGTTTCTAGAATAAATTGTTCTTATATAAATATAAATTGCATCTGTGTCATGAGAGAGATACCCACAAAGAATTATTTAGGACAACTTGCAACACTTGTTTAGATATGTGTATACACGAAGAAAACACTGTAGATGTTATTTATAATATAAAATTTTAAATTCTCTTTATATTACAAATTGTTACATTATTCATTTTATAAATCTTTATGCAAATTATATATAAATTACTATGTATATAATTTCTCAAATGTTAATTTTGAATTTAAACATACAACATACTTAATTTTTTCTTATTAAATATTTAGCTTATTAAATAATAAAAAATAGTTTGCTTATAACTATTCGAGATTTTTAAAAAGTGCAGTTCATATAACAATATTTGGATTTATATTTGAATTTATATTTACAGAAAGTGTTAGAAGATGATGGACAAAGGTGCACACCTTTAATAGTTGCCGCGCGTTACGGACATATCAAAGTAGTCAGAATGTTGCTTGACAAGTTTAAACCTGATTTAGAACAGGAAGGAACGGTGAAATTCAATGGATTCGTTATCGAAGGAGCTTCTGCGCTTTGGGCTGCAGCAGGTATATTAAAAGAATTATATATGTAATTTTTATTGTTAATAATTTTTGTAGCACGAATAACCCGTTAATTTCAGGAGCAGGACATTTGTACATTCTTAAAACTCTTGTGAAAGCAGGAGCAGATGTTAATCATACAACAAAGACTAATTCTACCCCGCTTCGAGCGGCTTGTTTTAATGGACGTTTGGACATTGTTAAATATTTGAGCGATCATCAAGCAGATATAAATATTCCCAATATGTTTAACAATACTTGCCTCATGATAGCATCGTACAAAGGACACTTGGATATTGTGAGTATGCTGAAACTATGAAAAATGTATACAAATGTTTGCAAATGTGTTTACATAAATTTTTCTAATTTTTTCTGTAATTTAGGTTAATTTTCTATTAGACAAAGCGGCAGATCCGAATAAGAAAGCAAATTGTGGGGCAACGGCATTACATTTTGCTGCCGAATGTGGACACAGTGCTATTGTGTACGAACTGTTGAAGTATGGAGCGCAAATGACAAAGAATGTGAGTGGTATGACGCCTTTAATAACGGCTGCCGAACGGACGCGCGAAGAAGTCGTTGAATATCTAATAAAAAGGCCGGAAGTGACAAAAGAAGAAAAAATAGATGCTTATGAGCTACTTGGAGCATCATACGCTAATGATAAAGATAATTATAATTTGAATATGGCATACACGTACCTGTGGAAGGCAATGCGATTAAGGTAAAAAAAATAAACCCTTACCATTTATCTATCGAGTCTATTTTATATTACATATTATTTTTCTCGTGTTCTAGGTATAGTGATACTGAAAATATTATACATAAGCAACTAGGTTCGACTGTGAAAGCATACGAGAACTGGAAGGAATGCGAAACAATAGAAAGTTTAGAGAGTATCAAATTTAATCCCAATGCTATACATATGGAATCGCTTGCTATTCGGGAGAGAATATTAGGTAAATGTGTGTGTTTCATACATGTATTAAAGTAAGATTGCGTTTTCTTTTTTATAAAACTGCTACTAATATTGTTCACTTATCAGGCCTCCATAATCCAGAACTGCCACATCCTATAGTATTCAGGGGTGCTATATTTGCGGATAACGCCAGATTTGATAGATGTATAGATCTGTGGCTGCACGCTTTGAAATTAAGACAACTCAATGATATATCTATTGTAACAGACCTCCTTCGATTTGCACAAGTATTCTCGCAAATGATACACGTGGGCATTGATCTAGATATTTCTCAGGTGATAAATGTTCTGGATGCAAGCGTAACAGAGTTGAATAGAAACAAGATCAAAATCCAGAATCCGAATTCCAAGGATGACATCGATCAATGTGTTGTAAGTTCAATAAAAGAGACTTTCATTCATGGACTACATATTTACACTATAATCGTATGTATTAGTGGCGTTTAGTGTGTCTGCGCTCGACAATGTTTTTTTGCGATATTTAAGAAACTCTTCTTTTCGCTTACACAGTTTGACTGCTTATGTTAGCAAAAAAAAAATGAAATTAATAGATGAATTACAGATCATAAAGTATTTTTATAAATATGCCGACACATAATAGACATTAGTGTATGCGACTGTATCATATTATTATGACAAACAAAAACATATCTCTATATATTTAGAAATAATGTCTTCATAGGAAGAGATGGAATCCAATATTACAACAACTCTATATATTTTAACGATTCTGACAAAACTGATGACTCTTAATGGAAACAGTGATGAATCAGATTTGACACAGGCACATCATCTAGTACACAAATTATGCGCGTTAAAAGTATGTTTGAAAGATGGACAAACTTTACTACATCTTGCTGTGAATGCTGAAACTCCTGTCGATGATTTTCATACTAATGATGTCTGCAAGTATGTCAAAATACTATATTAAAATAGCATTAGTAGTCAATGATTAGCATTGAACAAATTATTTGCGTGGTTTCCAGATTTCCATGTGCAGCTACAGCACAATTATTGATTCGTTGCGGTGCTGACATAAACGCGATGGATAACGAAAGAAATACGCCGCTTCACGTTATAGTTGGTTACTGTAAAGCAATTAGGTATGCTGTTAAAATTAATGTTATTCAACCTTATTTGATAATTTTTTAAAATACTTTTTTCAGCGATTTTGCGACCTTACATTCGATTATAATAGATCTGATTGAAGCTGGAGCACATATGGATACTGTAAATAATAGAGGTGATACCCCGTACGATGCGGTTACTACGGGTAAATGTGCAAATTTTATTATTGATTTGCGTATTTCACTGCTGTGTTATCATGTGATTATTTGGCTAATATTCAATTTCTATTTCAGGTGTAGCTAAAATAATATTACGTACTCGGACCAAATTGTCCTTAACGTGTATAGCAGCCAAAGCAGTTAAGACTTATGACCTACCGTATCGTGGTAACGTTCCACGTTCACTTGAAAGCTTTATAGAACTTCATGGGCCTGGACTTAATCAAAGTTGACAAGTCTCTAACACCACAAAAAATCGAAATTTTCTTGTATAAAGCACACTTAATATTTTTATACAAAATATACTCTAAATATTCGAATAATCTAAAATTTTATCACAATTTCATCTATATGAAATCAGGATTCTAGATCTCGTGAAAACATCACCGATGTGCGACTTAAACAAAATTGAATAAGAATTATCACGCGAAAGCATACGTATCATAAAATGCGATTTATGATATGTATAAGATTAATATAATTCATATTCAACGATGCACTCTGAGATATTGTCTTTTTATATTAAACGTACTTTGTAGATGATAAATAGTATTGCTACACATAAGCCATGTTCCGATATATGTACATTGCTAATATTAAAAATGTATAGTTCACGTTACGTATACTGTAAATTTTCAATACTGATAGTGTATATCGGAACACGGCTATAGTCGCTGCATAATAAAGTATTTTAAATAATTAGCCATTGTGCATTCAATTTTTGCTGTCGTTTTCATCAATTTTAACTGTAATTACTGTGATAAGTAAAATCAAATTAAATAAACTTTTCAAGTTATACAAATTGTGTGAGTTTAGACACTTTCCGCACGTATCGTTCGATTATGTGCTATTTGCTAAAGATGTCTGTTGTAGCACGATCTGAAAAGGCATAAAATATATATTTTCGTTATTGCCATATTAAATTTATTTAATATTTACACACGCACTCTCTGTATACAATCGTGTGAAACTAGGAAGATAATAGTAAAATATATAAGAATATACATATCGCACGATACTTTACAATATATTATTTACAATGTTTACACAGACTCGTTTATCTTATCTATTTTACACATTTTACAACGGCGCTCGCTTATCAGTTAATATAACACTTCTGTACAAATATACACGTGTGTTCACAATCTTTTGGCAAAAAGAAAAGAAAAAAAGAAAAATAAATAGAGTAATCCTTAGGCAGGTACAATCTATTCGCGGCGGCAAGATTTACGTAGGCATGCACCCACTCGCGTCTAAAGAGACTGAATGCATACTCTTACGTTGCTCCGTGTTAGCGCGTAACCGGACATACCGATTTACGCATCTAATTTGCTGCCCTGTCCCTTTAGTCCTTTTAAAACACTATGACAACATTGCGGAAACGTTAATGCGATCCAACGACCACAATGAGGTACCCATTCATGTACACGTTTGCACGACGAACGACGTACATTTCCAGTACAAAAACGGTCAGCGCTTCCTCGGTTGATACTTCATCGCGTGTAGAAGAGACATTTCTACATCGCTGAAAATATCATTAGTCAATTGCATATTTCCGACACGTGATTTCATTGCTCACTTGCTGAAGTGTTACAATGTTTCTCGCAGTGTGATGTGTTATAGATAGTGATGCGCAATATTTGCCGACGTTAATCGCTTCATACTTGTATCGCGCTCATTTCCACACACACCGTTCATCTCATTTTCACGAATAGTCTACTCGACATCTCTAATACATTATGTGAGTTCGTGATTGTGCAAGTACATAAAAAGTTACATATCTCGCTTGTACGTATTTTTATCACTTAATATAATTTAGAGATATATTAAAATTTATCGATTTTATCGGGTTTTAAAACTCATGTATCATGAAAGCTTGATAGGTAAAATGCCATCGAGCGCGTTTAAAATAAATAGAATTCTAATTTATTTCGAAAGAAAACAAATATTTGAAGAGCAGTCACTTTGATCGATGGAATATTTTTATTCGAATATTACATGCACCGCAACGTATTTTTCTTCATATACTTAAAAGATAATGCATGTATTAATATATGTTATTGTTAAACAATGATATATAAAATGTATCTCGTAGATTCTATTTGAATATTGAATTGACCACTACAATGACGGCTCCTTTACGCGAATAATATACATAATATACATCTTTCATAATTTATAAAATAGCGTTTTATTCCCTGATATGAATATATTAATACAATTGAATAAAAGTTAAATATGCGCGATTGATTGATTAGATTAGAGAAGATTAACAATTAGCGTCCGGTTGGAACATAGTAGAATTTGTTCCGAAAACAATGTTATAAACAGAGAAATACAAAAACCGCTAATAAAAAATACAACGCGAAGACACTCATGCACGCTTGTGTCCACCGCACGAAGATCCGAACGATATATTTGGTGGATGTTAATTCGCAAAATTGTACTTCTCGGCCATCACCTTAAATAGGAGTTATTCTTACCGTCATTTTCTCAATTGAGCCTGCTTATAAACGAGTAGCTACTCTCATCGTCGCGTTCTCAATAAACTCTGGCAATGACCCGGTAACTATCGCAATTGTCACTTGATTCTATTACAATTCGCAGTTGAATTTAATGACTATTAGAAGCTGTATCAATCGTTCTTAATTAACTCGTGTTTCTTAATTAGAGGTAATTACGATTAATTCACATTAAGCTGATCCACTAATCACAGCAGAAGCTCTCCATTTTGAAACAGCCGTCCTCTTGTAAATCGATTTTTTGTCTCTTAACCACGTGGTCACATATTATTAGAGCGAAAGTGAGACGTACTTTACAAGATATTTCAGATTGGAGAAATAACTCAGTTCCGGCGATCTCAAAGAATGGAGAGATTCTACTCAAGAAAAAATTCTACTTGAGGAAGAAATAAATCAACATCGATCATCACATTTCCAAGATAGGAATTAAAGGCTATTATGAGACTTCTCATTAAAATGATCTATATTGAGATCTAATGAATAAATGCTATCTTTTAATCAGAATTATCTGTAGTTTACTTCCTTCGTTTCAAGTCAGCTGATTTCGTCTGAATTTTTCTCTCGTGTTACTTTTCGTTAATATTCGTATAAAATATTGGAGAAATATTTTGTAAACATTTGTAGAACTTTTTAAAATATTTTAGAAATATTTCATGAAAATTTTCTAAAATATTTCAAATAAAATATTTTGGAAATATTTTATGCTGTGTAAGTATAATAATTGCATGGAAAAAACGAGTAGGAAACGCATTTCCATTTTGCACATATTAAAAATGAATAAATAGTAGACAATGTAGATAAAAACTTAAAAAAAAGAGAAAGATGTTTTTAATTCCGTAATCTTAAAATAAGATCAACCTTTTCATATTCGATTAAAAAGGTAATGTTTAATTTACAATTTTATATTAAACAATGATTTTACAAAAAACTTTCATCGATGAATGCTTCCAAAGTCAATCTCGTTACCACCGAATAGCGATATAATATCATTCACAATAATATATATTCGCGATAGAGATAATTACATTATCTCTATTTTATTATCGTTTGTCATATCTAGCTACAGATTATATTTATTATATACTATTCTTTGATGATAAATTCTGTCCTTTTTTCCTGTAAAAGAATATACAATTTACAATAATTGTACTCATCTGCGTTTCATCCTAAGATTGCTTTCTTTTTAAGAAATACAGTCGACATAAACGTTATTTTATCTTTCTTGATATTTTATCAACAAAGATAGAACGACACTCTTATCAGCTGTGTTTCCTAAGAAAAAGTAGCCAAAAATCATGTTTTTACATGTGTAAAAGTGATACGAGCACATACAAAACTGTGAGTCAGCCTGCAGCAGATTAAATATCTTTTTTTGTTTCTTCATCTTTTCGCGTTATTTATATAGCCGATATTCAAAGTCGATTCTTATATTTAAGATCATCTAACAAGGGAACGGTCGGAACTGTCCCTCACCGATTTTGATGCGCTTTAGATATGTTGTAGAGCATCAAAAAATATTGGACCCATATTTTTTTAGCTGCGTATCTCGAGGTTTAGGGGGTGAAACACCCCCTTGAAGAAAATAGACTTTTTCGTTTTCAGCGAATATCTTCGAAACTATGCCGCGTATGAAAAAATGGTTTATACAAAAGTTTTACAGTATTTTATGCTCTATATAATAGTGTATTCATTTTTTTTAAATCAAATTTTTTAATTAACCTCCACCTATCAGGGTTGCACCCCCTAAACCTCGAGATACGCCGCTATAAAAAAATATGGGTCGAATATTTTTTGATGCTCTACAACATATCCAAAGCGCATCAATAATCGGTGAGGGTCAGTTCCGACCGTTCCCTTGTAAGTACAGTCTTCTTCTTTAGTCCATTTTCATCCACTCCTGGACATATCTCTTCCATTTCTCTCCATTTATCTATCCTGGGCTATTTGCATCCAGTTTTTTCCTGCTTTCCGCTGAATGTCATCGCACCACCTTACTGGGGGGCGACAAACACTTTTTTTCGTCTCTCGTGGTCTCCACTACATGATAGATCTTTAGCTATATGTGACCTACCCAGCGCCATTTTCCTCTAGCGATCTTTCGACATGTCCACGACATCTGGTGACTCTTCCTAATTTTCTCGTTTCTTATCTTCTGTCTTAAATTTATTCTCAGTATTGTACATTCCATCCTTCGCTAGCAGATTCTCAAGCGATGTGCCCTTTTCTTTGTTAGAGTTATTCTTTGTTAGAGTTTCTTCATATACCATTACTGGCATTATAATTTCCTTATATTCCCACTCTAGGTTTTTGAATATGTCTTCTAATGTTAGAGTGAACAACTTTGGTGATATTGTATTATCTTGTCTAACTCTTCTTTTAATGGGTATCTTATCGGTGTTCAGATCTTCATTTATTTTAATCCGGATAGTGGCATCTGTGTAAATGTTTTTGATGAGTTTTGAATGAACCTGGAGTTTATTCTCGCTTTGTCCATAGCCTCCAACACACTACCCAAGTTTCTATTGAGTACAGTCTTAAGATATCATAAATCAATTTTATAGAGAACCACGTATTAGTATCTTAAAACTTTATTTAAGATGAATTTGAAATAAGAACCGACTATGAATACCAGCCAATATGTCTCGCGTGCCAGCAAATGAGACCGTAAGGTGTAGTCAAAAGCCTCAGCGTCAGTCCATGATTTAGGACCGCCATGTCCTAAGGTACAATCAAAGTCTCCCTATAAAATTATGGATACGATCAACGTGATGCTTTGAAGCATTTTTGATAGACCAATCAGAAAAAAGAATTTTACAAATTGACCAATGAAAAATTAGTGGCTTCAAAACATTTATAGCATCACATTGACCGTACCTCTAATCTTAGACAGCACGCATATCCAAAATCAGAACATAAGACGTTTCATGGAGAGAGTTAAGTGACTTCACGCTCTGGGCGTTCGACTCGTGATCTATAAATGAGCCCTACATATTCAGTTTTTTCTTATGCATATACGGGGATATGCACAAGTGGAATCGAACGATCAAGGTAGTTTTTTAGTAAATTGAGTTAAAGGTTGAAATTGACGTGTGCAAAATTTTATGGTAACGATGAAATAAGAGAGAAAAAAATGTTGAAAATGTAACTTTTCACATATAAAAAACTTAAGCCGCGTTCCATTTAACGCTCACAATGCTCGTGGAATAATTTCATCCTTGTTGTTTATCAAATGTTAAACAAGGACAAACAATGTGAGCGTTATGAGCGTTAAGTGGAACGCAGCACTAGTAACTGATAAGGCTAAGAGACGCTTCTTCTTTTTTACGATAAAAAACCGATCGAAAGATAGATGCCGTTTTGTGGATCAAAGGGACCACCAAACTAAATTAAAATAATCAATTTTTTAATAAAAAAAAAAAATGATTTGTTACCGGTTGTTTTTTGTACACTACTTATTTTCACTATCAAAATCTACATGGCATACAATTTGAATGAACCTAAAGGACTTTGCTCTGTCGAATTTTAAACTAAAAAGTCGTGATTTATTCATTTCTCTTTGAGGAAGTCAAACACGAATTTATTACATAGTACTATGACTCGTTGAAAATCTATAAAAATATAAAAAAAAAAGACGTCTCATATTCCGTTTTCGAACATGGTGTGTTGTCTAGGATAATACTTTAACACTAACTTATCCTGCTCGATCAATGATTTCGTTGAACGTGTAGAATAAAAATAGTGCTGTCAGCTACCTTAACGACAACCACATCCAAGGACCGCCATGTCCTGATAGTTTTTAAGCACTACTTTATTCTCCTCGTCTAAATAAAGCATCGATATCGAGCTGAGCGCTGTTGGCACGCAACACGCCTTAGGTACCATTGTCGGCTTTGTCGAGTAAACGAGGGTCTGCACGATCGCGTGATTCGTCGAGTTCAGATGGTCCGCCAGAGGAAACGGGCAATCACCGTGGCAGTAGAAGGCGTCGTATCCGGGCGGCGCGACGATCCAATCGTTCCAGCCGACGTCCGCGAAGTCGACGTAGAGCGGATGCCGCCGGCAATTCTCGCGGCCGTCCTTCCGCCGATTCTTCCGTAGGGTGGCTCGCCTGGCCCGTCGGTCCAGTATCTGACTCGCGGATGCCATCTCATAATGGCCGTCGTCCATGTACGTGTAGAGCATCGGCCGGCTCACCACCCACGCGTCTTTGTGTTCGTCGACGGCCCGTCTCAGCCGCACGTGTTCCTGTGTGCGGGCTAGTGCACCAGTCACGTGCACCAGCAGCCCGTGGTTATCCTGATGATTCTTTAGCCATCTCACCACAGCTGGATGCACATCCAGATTAATCGTAGCGTTCTTCGTCGCATCGATCACCTTGCTGTCTATCAGCCGCAACAGCGGCTTGCTATGACCCTTCACGCCGGGCCGTATTATGTCATACACCAGTACCCGGCCGTGCTTATGTTCCGCGCTTACATTTTCGACATTCGCCACTGCGACACGCGTCAAACTCAACTCCGCTGCCTGCAATGTCTCGCCGCTAGGTATCCTGCTTAGGTTGAAGGACAACCGGAAACGGTTTGGAGATTGGAATTTGTGGTCCAGATCGCTCTCTGAAAACAAAGACGAGGAATACTGTTAAAAATATTATATTAAAAAACTCGTGCAAATCTAAGATTCTGATATAAGATGTAAACAAAGAACAACAAATAGACTCAGTAAACTCCAACTAAAAGTAAAGTAACATAACTCTAATGTTATAATTTCACACTCAACGATATAAATATAACGCACGTTGTATCTCAATCGATACCGATTAAAAGTTCATATGCACTATGAAGTACCATGATGTGTTATACATTCCATCTAAGGAGCTAAATCAAAAGGTTTTTTTTTTTTCAAAAAACATGTAAAAATTTTTTATAGAAAGAAAAATGTATTAATTAAGTAATTAATAAATTTTCTATGCAGAGAAAAGTTAAATTTAAAAAAAAAACGAAGTCTAGTTTCAGTTTTTATTTTTCAAAGAAACAACGATTAATGAAACAACGATTAAAAATGCAATGCAAAAAATCATTTCAAAGTAAAATCCACATGTTTAGATTCTTTACTTTTCGCTAAGGTTTATTATAGATCGCGAGTGAATTAAAAATAAATCATGGATTGTGCGAGAAGACTGCTTAGAAATTCAGAAGAGGCGATTCTCTAAATGTCCTGTTGTGTCGGCGGATTGATTGGACGTGTATATTATCTCACAGCATTTATATTAATAAGGAGTGCCGCCGGAATAATTTTCCGTTCGCGTGACCTACGTGAATATTTTACGACGTACGAGGCGCGCACATTTAATTTAAGTAACGCTTCTACGAAAATAGCTAATAACGTTATGACGCAGTTGTTCCTCGGAAACAACTTGAAAACAGTAGATGCAGCTAGCAGTCGTATAGACGCAGTTGTAATGCGTATGCAAATTTCGTAAGACGTCACTGAATCTTAACACATACGTACACGCACACGCGCACGCATACCTAACGTGCGGTCAACATGCTACATACGCAGAATCTAGCAATTTCTGTAGAAGCAAAGCAGTAAAAGTATCAAAGAGCTTCTTGTTAGAGTTTTATATATAACCCGCACCAAATTTTTATTACCTTTAAACTAATAATTATAGAAGAGAGAAAGAAAGAGAGAAAAAATATATTGCGTAAATCATGAAAATATTGTCATAATTTCTTACAACAAAGTACATTAAATTATAATATCACAGAACATAAAATATGTATAACACAATTTCATCTCTGACTTTATAAATAATTGAAATAAGTAAACAAACTACGTTTTTTTCCAGATTTTCTAAATTATATATTGTTTATTAGCTAAAAATTTAAAATATTCTAAATAGCAGTGTCTATCGACAACAATAAATATCTTCAATTTTAAATATAAAATAATATAAACTTATGTAACACTGATAGTTTTTTATCATCATAAGGTGCCTGAAGAAGGCATGCACACGTAATCTTTAAAGTATTAGAACAATGTCATTTGTAAACAAAATATAAGCGTTTCTTTGTGCATATATATATATATATATATATATACATATACATAATCACGATGACGCGCTTGAAATGTCATCGGGTTTTACTTGCAAATTTTCATAAACACCTTGATAAAGTAAACAAAATTCCTAACATAGTCATTTCATTAAACTATCGATGACTACAGAACAATTGAAAAGTGTCGAATATTTAATATACGTGTCATTCATTAATCGCTATTTTTAATTCAGAGACTGAAAGCAATATAGCTGAGATTCTCATGTCAAAGATACGAAAATAATTTGTGATAATAAAAGGAACACGTTTTGGCATGGCCTTTACGATTTAGCCTTCAACGCGGATGTAATCGGATACACTTTTATCAAAATGATTTATTAAGACGGGTTTCTCGCAATATATACCCGGTCGCTTTCCATTGCACATCTTCCTTAATTGCTCTTGGACTTTCTCCTACATTATATCATCCCCATAAGCGCTTCTACTATTCCAATATTTAGCTTGAAAATCATTTCAGGCAGTTGTCCGTCGTAACGCAGATTCAAAGAAGTATCGGCAAAGAACGCCGATCTGCCTAAGCTATAATATCCGGATGTGAATCATGGGAACGGAAGCTTGGACTTTCTGTTGGACCTTTTAAGAGCGAAAAATACCGGTTGCTTTTCGAGAGTCCCTTCGGACATTCCAAGGCAGTCTCATCATCGCGGCAATAATACACTCACAAAAAAGATAGAGCGTGCAAGGAACTAGATTCTTTTCTTTTTTTGTCGTCGAGGTCCTGTGGAACATTGAAGTGCGGAACACACGGCACGTTCCCCACAATCACTGTGGCCGAAAAGCCTTTTGTCGGTGGTTGAACAACCATAAAATCGTTCGAATGCCATTCTTCTCCTTTTCACGCAGGAGGCGAAGGCAACGCATTACTCGCAGGTATATCCCTAAACTCTAAAACGTAGTCTAAAGAGTCAATTATCCAAATCGTTATCTCTTTGTAAAGATAAAATATTTTGTCAGAAATCCAGCATATTTACCATCTGTATTCATTCACTATTCTGAAAAAGAAGGTTGAATTACTTATATACAAGAAGACTGATTCTCACCGATTTTAATGAACTTTGGATATGTTGTAGTCTAATTTTTTTCATATCCTACAACATATCCAAAGCTTATTAAAATCGGTGAGGGTCCGACGGTTTCCTTGTTAGAAGGTTTTACGTCTGTGAAGCTGGCTCCTCATTGTCAAAATTTTGAAAAAATAAGCAAAGTTCTGGTAGCCCCCCAAAGAGTTCTAACGATTATTCTTAACAACCGATACTCTAAAATCAATATCCAAAAAGATATAGCACTTTAAAGTTACAGATTATTAATTTTTCCAAGTCCACAGACGAAAAATATTTTTCTCGGAAATCCTGTGTTTTCTTCAGAGTTCTGGTAGTCCCCCAAAGAGTTCTAACGATTATCCTTAATAATCATTGCGCTAAAACTGCAAACAAAGAAGTTACAGCTCGTAGAAGTTGTAAAAATATCAAAATCTGAAACTTTAAGGTCCCAGAATTTTTCAGGTATTGATTTCACAGCAACAGTTATTAAGGATAATCGTTAGAACTCTTTGGGGGGCTACCAGAACTCTCAAGAAAACACCAGATTTCCGAGAAAAAAATTTTTCGTTTGTGGACTTAGAAAAATATTAATAATCTGTAACTTCAAAGTACTATATCTTTCTAAATATTGATTTTAGAGCATTGGTTGTTAAGGATAATCGTTAGAACTCTTCGGGGGCTACTAGAACTCGTATCAGATTGCCGAATTTCTTTAAAGAAAAAATTTTTTTGGAAAAAGTTTTGGAAATTCGGTGTTTTCTTGAGAGTTCTGATAGCCCCCCAAAGAGTTCTATCGATTGTCCTCTATAGACAACGTGCTAAAATGAACGGTTTAGAAGTTATAGCTCTTCAAAGTTGCAGAATCGTGAAGTTGGCCCCCCCGTAATTTCAAATGGTGTTTTCGCTGCTTTAATCAATAGAACTCTTCCTAAATTTGATAGAGAACTCTAGAACTCTTCGGGGGGCAACCAGAACTCTGCTTATTTTTTCAAAATTTTGACAATGAGGGGCCAGCTTCACAGACGTGAAGGTTTTACTTGGATTATGTATTCTCAACCAAAAGTTGGTTATATATATTATATATTATCCACAAAATTAATCAAATTATGAAATCTTTTAAAAAAGAAAATTCATATACTCTTTAAATAAACCTTTTACATATGAAATTCTTTTACAATTATTTTCACTAAATAATGTGAATTTTTTTTACAAAGAGAAAGGATTATATGTTTCCTGCACATGGTTTGGAATAAACCTTAATGCCTACAATTATGTCAATCAGGTTAATTACGCCAGTTATGCTTAATGTAAACCTGTAATTTACGAGATAATGTCTTCTCAAAATTACCGCGTGACTAACAAATTCGTGTAAATGAAGTGAAGGAGAAGAATTAATACATCGTAAAATTATCATCATTATAGATTCTTTGTCGATCAATGCTTTATATTTATATCAAGTTTACGCTAAGAAAAAAGTATTTGAAATTTGTAACTGTAATTGCTGCACGTTAAAATAATTATAACTAAAGGCTTCATTAGATATTACTGCTATAGATAGTTATTACTATTATTATCTCATAATAATTACATTTATAGTTCTATTAAAAATATATAGTTGGTACTGAAGAAAATATTACATATTCTAATTAAATTATGATAACTGCAACCATTTTTCTCTCACTGTACAAAATTCTGTATCTTGAATTCTTTATAATACAAGCAATATTTATAACGATATAATCGATGTTAAATAATGATATTATTTAACTTTTTATCGCAAAAGCGAATGATTCCAGAAATCCGTAATCTAGAAAAAATTGCATAATCGCGTTCATAACAGAGCAACAGAAATGACGCGGTATATATAATATGTAAAAAAATATGAAATTATTAAATCTTATAGTTTGAAAATTTGTCATTCACGTTTGTCGACGAGACATAGAAGGAATAACGATTGATAACACGGGTGTACATTGCATTCCGTTTACTACTGCACTTTCACTGAGAGTCGAAAGAGTCGCCAACCTGTTTTCGAATTACGAATTCCAACTCGCTAGTTCTTACCATCGTTCAATGATTCACAAATCGCGAATACACAATAAAGGTTGCTATGTTTGTATTGGTAGAATTATTTTTTTGTTTATCAATTTAGGATATAATAAATTCAGAAGCACAATCATGTAGCCATATCATTGGCTACGCTCAGCAGAAACAGTTTTGTACAATTGTAAAAGCAACTGTCATAAAATTCTCTGATATAATTCGTTTTATTCATAATTCCTCACTGGACCTATATGTGTAAACTGATCATATGTTAAAGAATCTTAAAACAGTTGAAAAGTTACTTTTTCTGCTGAACACAGCTATTAATGCACTTATATCATAATTTCTATTAGTGAAACTTTATCAACAAATAATTTATATTCTGTTATAACTATAATTTTACTTTACATCCGGAAAGATTTGTTCGTACTACTGTACTCAAAATATAGTATAACTTTGTCGATAAAATTTATTTGATTAAGTTAAACCAAGATTACAGCTAATCTATATTGATGGAAATTGAGTTGTCTCCAAAAACTGTAAAAAGAGCTATATTTTTTATCACCAGATATTTATATCCCTAAATAATTTCCGTTAAGATTTTACACAGAAAAAAAATATTAACAGCAGTAATATAATTTAAAAAATTTAGTTAATTTTTTCATAATTACAGTCTTAATAAAATATCATATGTTTCATTACGTATATTAGAATAGACTAAATATTTTATACCGCATTATAAAATAAGAGAAGTTCCTATATATTCGATAAAAGCGGATCTTAATGCTTAAACAATTTCTGTGTAAATTTATATACATATCTGATTCTGCAAACTACGTGCCAAAATCTTTTTCAGTCTTGAAATGCATTCATGAACAGCATTAAAATAGATATAAATATTACTTATTAAATTGAGACAAGTAATTTAAGAATTTTTGAAGCTATAATAAGCATCTTTATAAGAATATTAATAATTAGATATTAATGAGAATTTTAAATCTGCGAATAATTTTATTGCGAAAAATTAATATTTTTATAATAATTTTATTGCTAAAAATTAATAACATTTTCAGTGACAATTTTCTCAAATTGTGCGAGATACCTTTCCCAATTGTAAGTAATACAGCCGACATGCAGACATAGTCCAACTTACCAATATGTGGGAACGAACGAACGGTGTTGGCCGATCGCGCGTGAATACCCGGCTTCGCGATATCCGCGATACCGATGGCATTCTGACGAGCGTGAAGATCCCTGAGCGATTTCGGTATATGCACCTGACCTTGCGGCCTCGGTTTCTTCGAGAAGCCCAGGAGGGAGAGTAAGCTAGCCTCCATCCCGGCTATCACCTGATCGTGATCCTTCGTTCCGAAGTGATACGACGACGTGACCGTGTCCGTGTTGATGCGTAGGTGTGCTTCCGCGTTAACGTTTACACTTGCCAGCAGCGTGACTGCTGCCACGAGCACTAACCCCAGCGGCAGCGACATGCGCATCGTGACGTCGTCACTCACTTACGTTACCTCCCTGGAAATATGAAAAGAAAAACATGTTAAAAGAGGCTGTCCTTGTAAATCAGCGACTCGCTACTGCACAATTGAATATTGCAGATTCTGGGTCGTCTTCTATTTGGTACAAAATAAAATACGTTTCTTCTTGATGAAAGAAAAGCCGGTATTCATAGTCAGTTTTTATATTCAAAACTGTTTTAAACCCATTTTACAATACCCATTTCTACGCCTAGTCCCCTTAATCTGCTACTGCCCGTTGTAGAATAGGCTTTATAATAAGTAAATAATGTCTTAAAACGCTAATACGGCCCTCTGATTGCTTCATGATACTCTAAGACTAAACTTAAGACGATCTTGAATATAAGGACGTAAAACGTAAGCATAACTCTTCAAGGTTGAATACACAATTGGAATTGGTGATTTCCTTAGGGACTGCGCAGAATAAAAGAAACAGAGAACAGAGAATAAGAATTTCAATTTATCAGAAATCATATGGAATACACACTGTTCATTCCACAGTATCCCAGATAACATTTATGTTGCATAAGATATCTAAAAGACGTCTTTTAGAAGTCTTATGTCTAAAACATGTCTAAAAGACGTCTATTTATAGATATCTTATGCAACATAAATGTTATCTGGGATATGATTTCTGATAGGTTAAAATTCTTATTCTCTGTTCTCTGTTTCCTGTTCCTTTTATTCTGCGCAGTCCCTTATGACTTTTACATCCTTACGGAGTTTCAGGTGTTCAAAAGCCTTTACTGGCAACAATGCAAAGACAGCCCTTTATGCTGATTCTACAATAGCGTTTTCCACTGGGAAAACTATGGTACAGCACCAGTGCCGTGATACTAGGTTTCGAAAACTGCACTAATGCAGTAATAGTGCAGTCTCAGAGGAACACATCTTGGCTGCGTTCGGGCAGTGCGCTATCAACGCCATTTGTGTAGTACTATCCTTGTCTCACGTCTAATGGACGATGAACATAGAATGACACAAATAGCGCTAATAGCATCTCCCCAAATCCAACCCCTTGTGTTGCCATCTCATAATCCTTATAAGAAAAATGGATTCAGGAAGTAAATTACGATTTCAATTAAATAAAGTACACAAATTTAAATTACTTATTTTACTTTTTGATTTGCTTATTTTACAATCTTTAAGATATTCTCAATTATTCATTAATTTTTTTATCAGTTTAATGGTTTTGAATATTAAAATAGTAATTGAGGCATTAAGAATGTGAGGAGAACAATTAACTATCATTGGTCGATTTCTACGCCTACTCTTTAATCCACTACTGCTACAGCCCATTATAGAATAGGCTTTAGACCACAGATTTCTATATATTTAATATATAGAAGTCTGTGCTTTAGACTCATAAGATCCCACAATCGCAAAGGATAAAACTTTGTTATTTGATATTGTTTTCCATTTACACATAAATGAAACTAAGTTTCTGAAATGAGCTGAATATGAAATACTCGAATTAATAACGTAGCTACCTGCTTACTTTAGCAAAAAGTGACACATGACAATCTGAAGTTCATAATCTCACTTTAAGGCACACGATCTCGATATTGCGTAGATTGTAAGTAAAAACTCAATTGAATCTCGCTTACCACAAATGAGAATAATCTGAGAATTGGTGTAAATGGAAAGCAACTATTGAATATACATGACACAAATGCAAATTAGTATTGGCTGCGTTCAGCAGGAAAAACAACTTTGCAACTGTTGTAAAATCCTTTAATATAATTGATCTTGTCTTTAATTTCTCATATCGAAATGTAGGTATATATAATTGATCTTACCTTTAGTTCTTCACTGGATCTAAATATATCAATTATATTAAAGAATCTTATAAGGGTTGCAAAGCTGCTTTTCCTGTGGTGAATGCAGTCACTATGTAACTTAGAACGATAAACGCGCGATCAGGTTTATTTTTAAATCGTAGTTATTTTTATTCCTTACACAGACTTCGTTTTGTACAAAAGAAGTGATATTAGAACGTTCTTACAATCGATTTCAAGTATCTTCTACCAAATGGTCTTCTACGAAAGAATCACGGGAGGTACTAGAAAAGGCACCTTTTACCTAACAGAATGACAGCAGGACTGAGATGTTCATTAGGGAATGCACTTCGGTCTAAAGAATTTAGGGAAGGGATGGCTTAGAAAGATAAATTATAATCTCTCAGGTTGTTAAACAGCGATACGAAAGTGATGAATCATACAATACCATTACAATGCATTTAAAGTGAAATAATATGGTTACTTGAGAATAGATAAAGCCAAAAATTATATAGGCACTTGTTATAAATTTTTCATTAATCTTCATTCATTTACCTAACTTGTGTCGTTTCCTATTAACTACCGCGATTATACTGAAGTTTAAAGGATTTTTAAAACAAGGAATAATTCACAGCATAAATAAATTTTTATTAAAAATTAAAACATTTAATAATGAATAATAAAGTACTTAATATTTTTGGCCAAGGCCGTATACTTCTATATAGAAAATTCTTCGATACTTCTTTTCTACTTTAATACGTAAGAAAGTCTGCAAGAAACACGCAATAAAATTAAAATGTTAACGAAAGCACACAATAAAAATATTACATTTTCAAATCCGAATATCTTTAAAATGATTGAGATGTTCATGAAGAAATGTATTACAATCTAAAGAATTCAGGGAAGAAATACTTGGAAAAATCTTGTAGCACATTAATTGGAATTCTAGATTCAACCAGAAAAGAACAAATCAGGTATTATAGTTAAATCTATCAAACATTCTAACCGCGATAATCAGAACTCTAATATTTATACTTCTTATTGGTACAATTTTAACATTTTCCTCTGTAAATAAAACAACCTTCTCTTAGAGATAAATTATTGAGACATCAATGAGAGATATAAATAGGGAATGAAGAATTATAAATCTTCAACAAATTTTCAATAAAAACTTATTCGAAGTGTTCCATGAAGTTAAATAAAATTAACTAATTCTACGTTAAATTTCATGACGGTTTGTATATATTAAGAAAAAAATATAAATTTTTATAAATACTTGTTTAAATAGTACTATCTTAAAATTTACTTACAGTAAATAAATATTTACTAAATCAAAACAACGATAATTAAAACAAATTAATAATACTTGTATCAAGTAAATGTATATTTACATTATTTGTATTACACTAAATATCCAGCTAGTACTATTAAACAAACACATTTATGAAAATTTAGTATATTTTTCTCTCAATATATAAGAGTGAACAAGAAATGTGGCGCAAATTTCATTTAGTTCAATTTAGCTTCACGAGGCCTTCCAAAATACAGCAGACTCGAAAATTTTACTCGACGGAGCTGCATAATGACTCTGAGTCAGCATTAAAGCGAGGGAAGAGCAGGCCCAGGATCCAATTCGATTGGTCATCGGTTCCCAGGGGTCTGCCGATAGATGTGGAGGGATTCGTCGAATCAGACTCTGTTTCAAAGTAATCGCTTTCTCTTACTCTCGAGCGGATTTTTTTACAATCTTATATATGGTGATTCGAAAATACTTTCGAAGCCTCATAGAATAAATTGGACGAGCAAACTCAATGGAAAATATAAGTATTAAATCGCTTGTTATATTATAAAAAAATATAAAGATAATCGCGTGAACATTGTATGAATTTTTTTTTATATCGTAATTATATCCAGATACATTCACCTTCTATAGTCACCTCTTTTACTGTTGATTAAGCCAATATTTAATTGAGAGTGCATGCCCAGTTGAACATGATTACTTCTTACTTTAATAACTTAATAGCTAGCTTGCACACTCTATGGATTGATTTGCTCTATTATTAAATAGTAACAATACAGGCACAAGTAAGCACGCAAAAAAGTACGTAAAACATGTGAATGTTTTACAATAAGTACAGAGCCTGTAAAGTTTAAATATCAGACGTAACGATTTGGTAAATAAACAAGTCAGGATTTAATATATAAAACTCTTAAAAATGTGGTTCTATTCGAAAAACAATAATTTCATAAAATAAGCATAATATACCACACACAAGTTCTTATTTGTGATAAATTATTATAATCTATATAGATTTTATGTTATTTTGATATGAATAAATTATTTACTTTATAATAACTTATCACAATTTATCATAAATAAGAACTTGTGTGTGGTATTATGCTTATTTTATGAAATTATTGTTTTCAGGATTTAATCATGATATATGTATAATAGTTCATGAAAATCTATCTATGCAAAACTTTTACAAGCTTTTAATGCAATCATACGGGTTGAAGACCGATAAGTGATAAGCTCGAGAAACATGAATGTCAATTGAATCAGTGATGAGATGCACGCATATAGACGAAAAAATATCGGATGTTTCTGTAGTGAAATCTATTATATTGTATTACAATTCGATCAATGAGATTGAGATTCCATAACAGCAAAGCAACGCGATAGATTCGAATCAGAGAAACGTGATAGACTCAAAAATCGTGTTAGACCTATTGAGATAAGTCACTCGTCAATATAAAAAAAAAAACTCCAAATTTCTCACTGTAATGTAAAAAAAATTATTCAGTATTTTTAATAAATTTATGTGCACCCACTCATTCGATTGACATTCATAGATTGATACTCTTGAGTGAGTTTACCTGTCTTTTCCCTCGTCATTTAATCGAGCCGTCTCGTTTAAACGCGCGCGATTATTATAATACAACCCCGGGCATATCCTTTGCACTGGAAAGTCTAGTTGTAATAATTAAAATTCTGGTTAAATGGATAAATCAGAATTTTCTTGATTGACTTTATTATAATTCCAGTTGAGATAATCAAAATTCTGATTGATACAATTGCGCATACACATTTCTGATTAGTCGCAATAAAAATTGCATGCCTGATACCATAATTTTGCCGCAGTGAGTTGATCGTTAACGAAAAACATGATCGATACCCAGGAGACCGATTGTGTATCTTGAAGCGAGGTAAACGTTATGAAAGTGAGCAAAATTATTAGAATATATCTATCATTTTATCAATCGACTAGTAAACTTGCTAACTTTTGTAGTTTTCATTTTGTTTCAAGTTACACAATCGACCTCCAGAAATTCTTCTCAGTGTGGAATTGATCGCGCTTCCAAAAAACCGCGACTGGCGCTCGGTACTGATCGGAGAGTGTGACTCGTCGACTTCGTCATGAGTTCGCGGCTCGATAATAATTTCGGAATCGATCGAACATTGTTGCGCCGTGACATACTTGCCATGTACATTAACGGTAGAGTTCCGTCGGTCGGCCGGACAAAACTGGTTTTATCCGCGATTTTAAGCGCGCGTTTCTCAAAGGCGGAGAATATTTATGCGCGCGCTGCGACTCGCTCGGTGGATGCTGAACGGATATATATGTTCCATTCCCCTCTCGTCCTCTGGTCACACTCTCGGTTTCATTCAGTATAAAATACCGAGATCGGCGAACGACTTCTTCCGTTAACGTTACACCCGAACGAACGAATTATCGTAACAGAGAGACTGTCAGGAACTGTAGAACTCTTTGGAGAAAAGCCAGAAATCTCTCTCTCTATCTATAATTAATTATTTTCAACGAAATTTTGACAATGGCGTGCCAACTTCCTAGAGGTCTGGGATTTTGCGATCTTGCTAGTCGTGCGACATGGAAACAAGTCTCTTTCGTAAACACATTGATTTTCTAATTTAAATTTAGTTAAATATTCCTTCCATGATCGATCACTAGGCACGAATTGCATTATAAAGCAAAAAATAATTACAGATACGCAATGCAGTATCGCGACGTGACTATTTTTTGCTCTTAGAATTGTGATAAAATAGCACTTTCAAACTTTAATTCATGCTCGCAACATTCATAAGCATCATTTGTCCTTACTTGATTTGACAAACAATAGATTTATTTGTGTTGTTCGCACTTTTTGCATTCAAAATTTTCGCCTTTTCTCTCTTTAACGTCCGAATATATGTATTTATCTACGTTTTGCAAAAATTTTTGAGAATTTCACGCAACATGAACAAATCTAATGGCTGCGTTCAGCAGAAAAAGCATCTATGTAACTGTAAAATTTAACGATTGATGAAGAAACTAAGAGCAAGAACCAATCATATTAAAGAATCTTGCAATAATGTTAATATGTACGATTGATTCGTGTATTTAAATCTAATGAAGAAACTAAAGAGCACAAATTGTACCGCAACCTAAATAAATATTGTGTCAAAGTTAATTGATACTGTAAGCATTGCAAGCTCAAGAATCGTTAGAAAATTAGTAATAGCAAATTGGACAATTGGTTCGCACGTAAATGTAAGAGACGCGGAAGATTTTCTATATCGAGAACCCGAGAAAAGAGGTGCTATAATAGAAATGTCTTAGTGACATAAAATTAAATACGGAAGCTCGCGCGAGGCATTCGAATGAATCATAAATCATGTAATAAATATGCATTAAGAAGATACATTATTAGCAAAATACCACTTCTCGTAATTGAGCACGATATTTTTTTTTTCGTCCTCTCTTCAGTTTTATAAAACACAAACACGCATGATGTTGCGGTACGAGTTCTTGGTATTCGTGCACGCACGGTATTCTCATTAATAACGACGCTACACGCACGTTAATTAAGTCTAACAATTTCCTTTCCTCATCGAAGACACATACCTCTTTTCATTCTCGTACGTCTTCTAAAAGTGAACGTACGAGAATGAAAATTCTTGCACTACGCACATACCGTATTTAGAATTCATGTGTACAAACTGGTATCATCTTTAGAAAATTCCAAACTGGTGCGATAAACGAATTAATTTGTTTCACTCTTATTGCGCGCACCAGGTGTACAAATTACAATACATATTCCCAGAGCTTTCTTCAAAAAAAGAACAGACGTATCAAAACTAAAACCGCCGATGGTGCCATTTCGGCTGCGGTATCATTTCAATTTTTTCTTTCTTATACTATATAGATATGCAGGATATTACAAATGTGAATATAATATAAAATAATGTAAAATAATCTATCACTAACCGAAAATCATCAAGGGTAGGAAATTATCGCCTTCGGCGATTCTAATGTTATTTAATAATAGGCATCTGCTTTTCTCACATACATTTTTCCTTTTCCTTCGTATAACATTTTACTTTTATTATACTCATAACTGCTTCTTCAATGAGTTTGCTACAAAATATATGTACGTACACATGTATGCTCGACGATCGTACATAGGAAGAGGAAAAAGAAGAACGGAATCAGAGATGAATTATCGCGTTCGATCGCGATGCTAGGGATTGATCGGACTCCGATTTGCGCCGATCGCGTGTCTTAGCTCGGGCTTGGCAGATGACAGCGGGATACAATATGGCGGTTTATACCGCTCGGTGGGATACATCGTTAGCCCATCCGCGGCACGAGGGCTCGCGGTCCTCTCGTGCGGTCCCTGGCAGCACGAAGAGAGAGAGAGAGAGAGAGAGAGGGAGGAAGGGGGTGAGGGGGAGACGAGGCAGAAAAGGTTGGTGGGACCAGAGCCAAGCTGTCTGCCGCCGCCAATCCAACGCTCTCGCGTTGGACCGCTGCTCTGGCTCGATGGCTCGCTGCTCCGCAGCGGAACGGAACCGCGCGGTGTGGCGCGGCGACCGAGCAACAACTCTCGTCGTCGCGCGCGTTAGGTAATCCGTGTAGATCCTTTCGTCGAGAAACGCGCCTCTCTCGTAGCGCGACCAACTTGTTTTTCAAGGACAATGAATTTACCGATGTATACGCATTCGCGCGGAAAAGGCTCGCCGCACGCTTGCATTCCTCGCGGGCGGCAAAAGGTGGGCTGCGCGAAGCGAATAAACACGTACATATATATATATATATAGCACCGCGGTGCGTGCGGCCCCTGGCCTGCGGCCTCTCTCGTCGACCACCGCGAGGCGGGTAGATGGATGTAGACGAACGGACAGAACGATCCGAGATTTCTTCGGGCGGGCCCACACACCACACAGAGGGACCGCAGGTATGCGACGCGGCCGGGGGAAAACGTCCGCTCTCCGGATGTTCACGGACGTTTATCGGGATAGGAGACCACCCGCGCGCTCGGCATCACGGCCCCCTCCGAAACGGCCCCGCGGTTCGTTAATGGGCAAGCGGGGCGATTTCGTAGGAATTCACTCGCGCGCCGCCCCGCCGCGCCGCGCACCGCTCCGCTCCGGTTCGTTCGTTCGTTCGTTGCCAAGCCCCTCAATTGACGGACAACTCGTGGACTCTCGCGTGTGAGTCGTGACTCGCCGCCGCCGCGAGAAATCACGAGAAACGACGACGGCGAACGCGAAGGCGGTAAACAACCACCGCACACGCGTCTCGCCTCTGTATACCATGGAAACAACATCCTGTGACGGATTTGCATTCGCATATTCGCGCGCGCGGCCGCGCTGCTGGAATGCGGGGCGCGCGCTGGAATAATACAAGGATAAGGTCGGCGGCGCGCGGTGCTTCGAAGCGCGTGTGCGACGTGCGATGCGAGTCGCGCATAACAGCGTATAGAGCTCTGCGCGTCATCGTCTAAAATAATCGGGCCAGGCCGACCGCGGCGGGGTAGCGGCAGCGGCGACAATGAGCGGCGGCAACGGTTGAGGAGCTCGAGGAAGAGAAGTGGGTCGGAGAGTAGAGCGGTGGGACGCGCGATGGGAAAGAAAGGAAATAGAAGAAGGAATCTCGCGGTCGCGCGCGAGTGCGTCGCGAGCGTCGCGGAGCGAAGAGAGAGAGAGAGAGAGAGATATCGAATGAGAAGAGACAGACTGCAGAAAAAAAAAAAAAAACAAGGAGAAACGTTGCGCACCTACCTACCTACCTATCTAAAGAAAGAGAGAAGAGAAACAAGAGTTGTGTCGCTCACCGAACTTAATCGCGAGTCCGTAGTTTCAGCAGCCACGGCATCTCAAGTCGGGGCCCGACGACTGCACCACGCGTAACCTCACCTCACGCTGCTGCTGCTGCTGCTGCTGCTTGGCACCAGCCACTCGCGCGCGCGGTCCACAACGCAAAAACCGCACAGGAGGGCACTCTCCGGTGTTCCGCCGACCGATGGTCAGCCCGCGCGGCGGCGGAAAGAGGGACGTGCGCGGGTGGAGAGGGGAAAGGGAGAGGAATCCAAGAAGGGAAAACGGCCGTAAAGAGCGACGATGTCCGTTGTATATAGTGATGTATAGACGACAATTTCGTAGAGACACCGCGGCTCCGACGGATTTCCGTACACACGCACTTCACACACACTCACCACACGGGGCACAAACAAACACCTGCGCGCCCGCGCGCGCGCGCGCTTGCGCGCTCCTCACTCGATTAAAATCCGCGCGACAATTTTTGTTATATTCCTCGTCCGGTGCGCTCCGTTTTTTCTCCACGGCACCATATACGGAGACGGCGAGGCGAGGGCATTCGGCCCCGATAACACGCGGCTAAAGCGATAATGCGGCCACCTCTAGTATCCTTTCTCGTCGATCAGACGATCATAACACACGCGCCGTGTGCGTTAACAACCGAGAGTGTGCCCGCTCGCTCTCTCTCTCTCTCGTCGTCGTCGTCGTCGTCGCTGGTCGCCGTCGTCGTCGACGGCAGCGACAGAGCGGCCCGCGCGGTTGGTGGTGGTGGTGGTGGTGGCGGCGGCGGCGGCGGTGGTAGTGCCGGCGGTGACGAAAGGGGGAGACGGCAGAGTGGGGGGACGGGGCCCACCTTCGTACACCTGCGCGACCTATCAACAGGTCCCCCGCGCGCGCACGCACGTACGTACGCCGCGTACGTACGTACGCGCGCACGCACGCACGCACGCACGCACCGCACGCAAGCAAGCACCTACGTTACGCGCAGGGCACGCGGAATCCGGCCCCGCCGAGTTCCACGCCGATGCGCACGTTATACGCGCGCGGATCCTTTCCTTCCTCGCTCTCCCTTGCGTCGCGCCGGGTTCCTCCGTTTCTACCTGCTGCTCCGACACGTATCGCCAGGATGCACTTTGGTGTCACTTTCCGATTTCTTTACCTCTCTCTCTCTCTCTCGCTCTCTCGCTTCTTCCCGATGACGTCGCGCGCAATGTGTCGCAAAGCACTCGGTGTCGAGTTGTTCGCACTTTTCCCAGTTTCCAGGAAACGTGCGTGGATCGCCGCGCAGTCGCGAGCGAGAGCGAACTATCGCGAAGTTTAGGCAAGGCCGCGTTCGATTCGAACGTTGTGTGCCTCGGTCGGACCCCGTTCCAGGTTCCAGCTCGCTCCGTTCTACTGGCCCTCCCTCTTCTGCAGGCCGCCGCCGTTCCCCCCCCCGTCCCTCCCCTCCCCCTATCCCACCGGACCGTCTGACTCCAGGACCGCCGCGTCGACGCCCGCAGTCCCGGTGCATTCCACGCTCGGCCGGCTGGATCCACCGCGTTTCGTCCTCCCTTTTGCTCCACGTTCATCCATTGATTCACGGGGATCGATGTCCCAGGAAATATCTATTAAGTAACACGACGTCAATCTCTCATTTTAGAGATTAGCTTTAAGAGATCGAAGTGAATCTCTTACATTGAAAGATTTATTCTTTTTTGAGATTGGCTCAATTTTTCTCTTTAGAGTGAGATATCGCTCCAAAAATTTAAAGATCACTCGACGTAGTGTAATATACACGTGTTACGTAACAGGTATATTGTGGAGTATGAAATTGTAACGTTGATATTGTGTTACTTTTTTAGTTCGTATTCACTGGGGTCCGTATGTACAATAGACTTCCCCCCTCCTCCCTCCCTATCATGATGTATGGCCTGAGCTTACGGTCTTTCTCGGCAACTTTGATGTAAACACGACGTATCTTCTTTGTGAAAAATTACGACCTTTACCTGCGTCCCTTTAAATTCTTTCGAGCATTCATTCTAAGAAATGGAAATTGAGTCGGTCAGAGAGAGTGGCTCAATTCTTATTTTTAAGGTCTAATTCCATCAATGCAAAATTAACTTTAATCTCGGTTCAACCTACGCGTTACTATTTATCTTTTTATAATTCGTACTGTTAGAAAAAAAAATCAAAAATTATGAACCGAGATTGAAGTAATCTTACATTGATATAGACTCGGGCCTAAAAATCAGATTTCTTTTTTCAAAGTAAGATTCACTCCAAAATGTTTTAGAGGCGATACATCGCTGCTAAGTATATCATATATTGAATAATACAATAAATTGGAACAAGCGAGCCTATTTACGTTGCTTTCCCGATTAAAATCACATTGAAGCAACTATCAACTGTTATGGAAATTATCTGGAACGATAGTATAGTAATGAAAAGTTCTACTTAAAATCTAAAAAAAAAAAATTCATAAGAATTTATTTATTTATATATTATTCGTTAAAACATATATCCTTATTCTTGGATTACTATGCTGAAGTGAATAACTTTTATTCTATTTATTAAACATACAATTTCATTCATTATTGTGTTAATTCCCTATACGATTATTGTAAAAGATATAAAACACGGAGATATAAAAGGCACGAGAACTCGTATCCCCCTCGTAAAGTTCGTTGCAGCGACGTTCCTGCGCAAACTTCATCGTCCTTGTTCCTCTCGCTGAACACGTCATCGTCCCTCGCTCGCACTACCTCGGACTTGCTCCACCAGCCAGTCTGCCGCTGCTGTGTCCTCCTTCCCCTCGTCACCCTTTGCACTCGCCCTCTCCCCATATCGTTCCGCTTTTCACTCGCCTGCCTGCGAGCGGTGGTCCCCAATCCTATTCCGTCGTTAATTCTCGACGTCTTTACCTTTTCGTAGAACCGAAATCAATCCGAGTTTTTCTGAAGAATTCTTGGGCAATCAGTTTTGGCGATTATATACTCGACACGAAAGTCACGTGATCACGACCTTACAATTGTAATAAATTGTTTTATCGCGATAATAAAAGTCGAAAGTATTATCGAAAAACATAATTGTCTGTAAAGACATATATTCTAATTGCTGCAATTGTCACATAGTCTTAATATCACAATTTCGAGGATATGTATAGGAAGAGATCAATAAAAGTGTGCTGTAAATTCAAATTTTAAGAAGTAAAAATTCCATGATAGAAAGAACTTTATACTTTTTCTGATATAAAGTAATTATTACGTTTTTACATACATTAGAGTATTTAATTATTTATTAAACATATAATGAGATAATCCACTCTCGATAAAACAATCAATATTATTAACTTTAGGCTTCAAGACTCTTGAAACTTTATTTGCGCACAACGTTTGAATTACTTCAAGATTATTATCAATTATCGTGCAATTTTTTGCAAACTATAAGAATTTATGAAATGTAAAACAATTTTAATAGATAAAAGTAAATTACATAAATATTTGTACTATGTATATTTACTAAATATGTATAATATACGTATATATAAGCATAAATTAAAGATATTGCTGATTTTGTATACCTTGTGCTGTCCAACAAAAATCGTCAAAGAAAATCATCGTATCTATATTGACAACATGCGATCAAATTTGCAGAAGAGAACGATGTTATCATCTACCTATCTATTAGAATTGAGCATGCTTTTTTACCGATTGAGCGTCACGTGATGAACGAAGAAACGCGGTCTATTCGAATATTCGTTATAATGAATTTTACTTATTATACTTATCACTATGTTTTTCTTTATCAAAAAAATGTATGATCTATTCCAATAATATATTATAATAAATTTTATTATTTACGTTTATTACGCTTATTATTTATTTTATTATTAACGCGTAAAAAAATATTCAATCACCGTTTTCGTCTTTATATGTAATATTTTTTGACAGAGATCGATAGAGATCAATAAGAATTTTTATTTACAAAGTTATTATATATTACATGTACAAGAAGAATATCTAGTATATATAAATTATTTTATAGAGAATAATAACATTATATACACAATATTTATTTTCATCGAAAAATAATTCTAATATTACGCAATCACTTCTGGAAAAAGATTCACTAGGAGGTGATCTAATAAAAGATATGCTAAATGTTTATTGAATGGTGCGTTTTGTAAAGGATCTAAGAGAGAATTCATCAGATTGTTCCATGGCTTGGGAAATATCATTAACCACCACAAGGAATGCAATCCCTCTTTTGCTGTTTCGTAGTAATTTCGATATTTTCCTTGCGAGGGAAAGTCTCTTATATAATTCTTGCCCACAATTTTCGCATGTAGAAGCTTAACAACGATGGAAGCACGGCCACCACTTAGAAGCTTAACTAGAGTGCTGTAGAACATTGCATTCACATAAGGGTCTATTCTTTTACGCAATAAGAAGGCCAGCATCCAGAAGAGTCGTGAAATAATCGAAGGTAAACTTAGTAGACTATCAACTGTAACATAATAACATAATTTTTAACAATCGTCATAGATAATTGTGAAAATGTATATGATATAAAAAATATATCTTTAAACTTACGAGCTTCTATAATGCATAAACTTGCGCCTTTCATGTGATCACGTTGTGGTAGACTGCACGGCAAATTTTGGAAAGTAACTGGTAGATTTAGATTATTGCCAAATACATCATCTATCAGCTTTCTGCCTTTGCTTTCTGTTTCACCGAGATGCTCGCTCGATGGCTCGATACCCATATCCATGTGCTCGTATTTCGTGTTTGTAGACGCTAAAAAAGTACTCATGAATTTATCGAGATGCTGTCCCTTCTCCTTCCGCAATTTATAAGTCATGCTCTGATAAAGGATGCCAATGTCGGGCGTGCTGTAGTTCGCGAAGTACGGTTTCAAGTTCGGCGTTGTAAGAAAGGTGTAAAGGAGCTCGCTGCTTCTTAACATCGGTTTGGATAGCAACTTCTGCAGAAACTCTTCGTAACGTTGACGATTAGCTGCGAGAGGCAAGTGCGGGTTTTTGCGCGCTGGTAATGGTGAGTCATTCAACTCCTTGTCACCGTGGAACTCGGTAAGTCGTGTTCGCAACGTATAGAAATCTTGATCTTGCCGCAAGACTGTCCACGATTTAGCCTCCGCCACACTATGAATGGCAATCATGTATACTGGTTGCGAGCCACCGCCGTCTACGTGAGGAACGGCAACTCGCCATGTTGTTAAATCGCGATGACTCTTATCGCCGAAGCCTTTGATTTCATTATATGCTCGAGCTGTGCAATCTACTTCTTCAACTGGATAGACATCTTGTAGTTGAAACGGAGTACCATCAATTGCAGTCGAACGTAAAACGCCATCGATCTTGCCCACTTGATTATTGAATCGCATAGGAGGAGTCGATGTACCTCCACTCGCACTATAATCAAATGCATGTATTCATACAATTATTATAATTATAAAAACTTTATTGAATGCTAGCATATACAAATTATAAAACATAAAATAAAATTTTTTAAAGTTTTAAATTCAAATTAATTTAAAATATAGTGTCTATTTTTTTTATTCGTATTAATTTAAAAATACACTATTAGGAAATTGTCTTTCTCTATTTTATCATATAAACTATAATATAGTATATAATTATAGTTTATATGTATATAATATAAACTATATAATAATAATTAATATGTAATATCTCTAAAGAATTTAAAAACACAGATACATGTATATTTTAAAGCTTACTTACTTAGCTGCTGTAGTAGCTTTTATTTGTTCAGACAAGTGACCGCACAAGAGCTTATATAACTGAAACGCACAACACATAAGTAGTTAGTTATTATTAGAATATAAAATTTCATTATTAAAAATTTAATATATCGGGATTATTATTTATATAATATATTCAAAATTGTAAATATTAAATGTAATATGGGAAGTATATAAAAATAAAATGATTTACTTGATAACTATGATGGAATGATGGCAAACAGGTACTTTCTAAGAGTGTGTGTGCTTCTTGATGAGCTTGATAAAAAGATCGTGATGTTCGTAATTCTTGAATTTTTTTCGGCCCACCTTCTAATACTAGAAATAAATATGTATATGTATGTATACATCTATATTTGAAACTGAAATTATTTATTTATAAATTATTTACCTTGTCGTATGCCTTTTGATATATGCAATGGTAAATATAAATATTCTGAACCGTCAGGATCAAGATATATCTTGTACATATTTCGAACATCTACGTATAAATTTTCTTCGGCAACGGACGTCATATCTGGATTTAACATACGTTTACTGAGATCTTCTAAAAATAAATAAAACAAATTATATTATATATATGTAAAATTTAAAAAATTATATTAAATTATATCAAAAGTTTGATGTATATACCAATATCTAAATAAAATTGAAGAAGATTCATGGGTCCTGATTCTTTAATGTGTTGCATAAACATGTATAACAGTTCAGGATTGCTTAGAATTTCATTTAAAGATGGTTTGAAGCAACTGTGTGTGATATGTGAATGCATTGCTGGAAGTGTCACCCAAGATTGCAGTATTGGTACAGTAATAGTCTCTGCAGCGTTAGATAGAGTAGTCTCACGGTGAGTGGATAATGTCACCAGCATATTTATATTTTCTGGATCCGCCAGTGCATCAATCGCTGGCAATAGCACCCAATTTGACAAAATTTCTCGAAGTATCACCTAGAAGTATATATAAACTGAAAGAAGCGTATGAAATGTTACATAATTATGTCTACATAATTAATCTCTCAAATTCATAAATATGAATAAAAAATATATGCTACATGATAAAAGCTTGAGTAAACTTTGAAAGAATATATCATTACTTTATTATTTGTTGAGACATGTATGGCAGGTAATAAATGTGGCAACAGTGCAGTGACCAAACCCCGTAAATAATTTAACTCAGCTTCTCTTGAGTAAGAAGCTGGATGAATTTTAGAGCTTAAACAACTCCCGATGTAATCTTGAGACATTTCGATTTCAGATGAAGATATTTTGAGCAATGCTTTCCAATCTTGAGCATGTTGTATGGCCAAGGGAATCAGGCCATCAAAGGCAAGGGTTGCTGTATCTGCACGTAATAATCGAATGGTAATATTCTTTGCTACTGTTGTTATAGCTAAACGTAGTTGTTGTATAAAAGCTTCATTAGCTGAAATATCCGAGTACCATGTACAGATGTACATTTGGAGTACCTCTTCCAGGAGCTACAAGACAATACATTTGTATAATTTTTGCTAAAAAGTACATAATAGTGACAGTAAATTATGCAAAAATGTATAATTATTAATCACCTGCTCCAATGCATGATCAAAGTCTTTTGGTACTTTAATCTTGGTTGAATGTGGCAACAGTTTATGCCTTTTGCAAGTATTCTTTCTACAGACGCTGCATGAATCCTTAATTTCATATCTTTTAATAAACTTATCATTTATAATATTGAATCTCGTCAGCAAACCGTAAACACGTTGTTCATTTATAATATTGAACCTCGTTAGTAAACTGTTAACACATTCTACTAATTGAACAGCGTAAAAACTGGCAATCACATAAATGCTGATCGCGATGAACACCCACAGAATGCTGCGAAAAAATTAATAGAATAATTTCACACATGCGATTTGTATATATATAATTGACAAGCATGTTATTTACCTATTAAACACAATCACAATAAATGCGACAAGTAAAATAACAATCGCCGATATTGCGGCACTAAAAAAATATAGATCCTGCATTTCGTTGCTGTCGAATAGTGATGTTAGAGAAAGTAATTTTGTGACAACATTCTTGTCGTTATCACAAAGTCATTTATTATAATCAAAGAAGATGCTTTCTCTATTTTCTCGGCACACGGTTCTATTCTTTATTCCTGCACTGTCTGAACTGGTGCATACGGTGCAATAAGTTGAAAGTTGAAGCGAAACAAACGTATTTGTCTCACTTCAACTACAGGATCTACAGCTGTTTACAGCGCCTTACAAGAACCTTTGATAATCTGTGACAAGAACTGTGATGTTTTGAAATGCAACAAATAATTAGTAGTGAATTACAGCGGAAGAAATCAAAGAATAACGCATAGAGGAAGAGTCGATTTTATTTTATGCTTCCGTGTGATTCAAGAGCGGATTGAGAAACTTTTTATCATTAGAACAATGCTGAGATAACCTGTTACATACTATGCATATAGATGCATTACCTTGGTATGCCTGATATTGTAGGTTTTCTTGGATTTTGTATGTGATATTTTAATGGAAAAAAAATTGCAACGATGTCGAGACCTCCTGATCCAAAATTTCTACTGCGTGGCGACATGGATGAAAATGTACATAGTTTGTTGTTTTTTATTAACTCTGATGTCGAACATCTCTATGCTGGTGATGGAAAAGGCACAGTTCACATTTGGGATTTAAAGGTAAACGCTTGTTTTTCTTAAATTATTAGTTTAAATAATTGGATTTAATCCTCCAGAACTGATGTGGGTCTATTGGGGACTTATCTACTTATATCTTTTCAAAACTAACAATGATCAGTTTGTTGAAACCATTATTTTTAGTTATAAATATCTCTCTCTCTCTCTTTGTCAAAAATGTCAATTTAATTTTGTTTATGTTACATCTACAAATTTAAATTATTCTTATTAAAATAAAATTAGTATTTATTCCTTTTTTTAGAAATTATTTTGGTTTTTTAAAATTAATTAATGTCTTTTAATCAATATATATTAAAAAAATCTCGTACATCTAGTATAATTGTGTTACACATTTTGACATCAGTTTAGAGGGTTATATCTAATAAAAATTTATGCAACATATGAGAGAGGATAAATGTGCAGAGAAAATAACATTGAAATTTGTTAAAAAGGATTGAATTCTTTTTATTATGTTGTAGACAAACAGGATAAAATATCAATTATCAGATGGACATAGTCCATGTTTTAATTTACATACAACTAATGAGACTGACTTGATAGTGCAACGAAGACATGGAGTGATTGACATATACAAAATGAATGAATCAAACTGGATACTATACAAAAGCACCAATTATGAATATTGCAGTTTTTGCAGGTACATTAATAAACAAATCTGATATAAGTGTATCTGATATAAATAAGTCTGTTAAAATTAATATTAATATTTTGTGTATTACAGATCTCAATTATTACCTGAGAATGATGCAATGTTGATTCCACTTGACTATTCTGTAGTAGGGACATTATCATTAAAAACATTCAAAGTTGAATCGACATTAGATCCATCCAAATTATCTTATAGTGATAAATTAGGTACGGTGATGGCAATGAAATCATTGGCAGATGGTTTAATTCTAGTTGCTTATGAGAGTGGGCAATTATTGTTGTGGGATATAAGAAAGAATGATGTTCTTAGTTCTCTTGCTGTGGAACAATATCCAATGACTTTTGATTTTGATGCTCCTTTGATGCAAGGTATACTTGGCAGTGCATCAGAGAAATTGGAGGTACACTATAAAAATTGACTTTCATAACTCTTTCTAGAAAAAAAATGATTCTGACGTTGGTAAATTACATTTCTAAATTTTTAGATTTTCACGATGTCGCCGAATAATACTCTATCCCACAAATTTACAAGATCTTTGGAGCATGTTACTGGCATATCCATTCTTTCGGTAAGACCGGACAAAAAGATTGTCACGGCCGGATGTTGGGATGGACGTATAATGTTGTTCTCTTGGAAGAAATTACGGCCACTTGCAATATTAAAAGAACACAGAGCAAGTATATATGATATTGTTTATTCAAAGTGTAAAGTCGAGGCTTACGATACTAAATGTTTAATGGCAGCGGTTGGCAAAGACGGTTATATATCTATGTGGGATATATATAACAATTAAGAAAATCACAAAATGTAAATGAGCAAAGCAAAGAAAATAAAAATATTTATATTGTACATACATATATAGTTATTGTAAATTATCTAATAAAAATTTTCCATAACGATACTCGTGTGTATTAAAAAAGGAGACTTACATTTATAATCATATAAAGTTTTAGAATACTAAAATATTGTTTATTATACATCTGTACATATGTTTTTTATATTATCTTATTGCCATCGCACTATATGATACGTCTTTTTACCAACTCTCAGCAATGATAGATTATTGCTTAGTATATGAATGCCAGGTACAATTACCTCATTTATATTAGTAATTTTTTGATAATTTACATAAAATCCACCTGCTGTTATAATTCGTTCAGCATCGTGATCACTTTTAAAGCATTTTACTTTTTTTGCTAACTCGTATATGGTAATTCCTGGCTGAGATAAGACATCTACTATAGTTGCGCCTTCAAACACATTTGTTAGTTCTGATGCATTTAATTTCACAAATGATTCAATTGATTTATCATACAATGCTGCAGATGCGCGTTTTGCAGCTAATAGTCCATCGTCTGTAAAAAGTATGTGTAACAAGTAAATAATAACAATGATATAATTTCTTATAAAAATTACCTCCATGTACTAAAAGCGTAACTTGTTCCGCTAATAATTTCTGTGCTCTTCTCTGTTCTGGATCATTCATATGATTCTTCACAATTTCAGTAATTTTATTCAATGGTATAAATGTGAATAGTTTTAAAAATTTTTCAACGTCAGAATCCTTAGTTCTAATAAAGTACTGATACAGTTCGAAGCTTGAGGATTTCGTTGGAGACAGCCATACCGCATTTAAAAGAGACTTGCCAAATTTCTTTCCACCTTCAGCCGTTATAAGCGGCAATGTTATACCATAAACTTCTTTTCGTATACTTTTCGTGATCAAGTCATATCCAGACATAATGTTACCCATCTGATCACTGCCACCAATTTGGAAGCGACATTTGTAATTTTTCATTAATTGAAGCCAATCATATGCTTGGAATACTTGATATGAGAATTCAGTGAAACTCATCCCTGTCTCAGAATTTAATCGTGTCTGGACAGAAGATCTGCCCAGCATTGTGCCCATCCGAAAATATTTTCCAATACTTTTAACAAATTCAATGATGTTTACATTTGTATACCAATTTAAATTGTTTACTATAATTAAAGGTTTCAGTGCTGCTTCCCTGTTTTTCCAAAAGTAATCTTCATGATTATTAAATATGGTCTCTATATTCTTTGTGATAGATTGGATGTTCTTTTCAATTACATATCTTTCTATTTCAACACGTTCAGATTTTCTGTGACTAGGATCACCTATTAAACCAGTAGCTCCTCCAACTAGAGCTATAACTTGATGTCCAGCTCTTTGCCAATGTAAGAGATTCATCAAGATCAGTAGATTGCCGATGTGTAAACTGTCTGCTGTTGGATCAAAGCCAGCATAGACACATTGGGGTGATTTGTTCAGTAAATCTACTATTTCATTTCTAAAAAAACATTTAATATGTAAATTGATATAGGTAAGTATTAAGAGACGTGTAACACAAAAGTTTTTATATTGATAACACAAAAATAATTCAGTATACTTACGTACTAGTCTCGGGAAATATGTCCTCGTACATGCCTCTTTCGTGAAGGTTCAATACATTTCTGCTGTAGTAAAATCTGCGTTTATCAAAATTAACGTTTCTGACGGTGGAGCATAACCTTAATAAAGAACGCACGCTCATTTTACTATATATTTAAAATGATACTAATAAATAATAACGGTAAAGGTAAAATATAGGGCAATCCTCTTAAAAATCGATTAAATTAGACTCATTCGACGCGTTTTTGCATAAAACTTCAAAGAAATCAGTTTTCGTTGTAAACTCTCTACGTAAAAATATGCATACGTAAAATTCGCAATTTAAATTTGAGGACCGTCGATTCCAACCTCAAATGCGGCATTTGCTTTATTAATGGCGAATTCGATTGGATTGCACCAGTGCAGTGTGATTGCACCAGTTCATCTTTTTTCCTTTTCCCTTCTCCTGGAAAGAAAAGGAAGAAAGATGAACTCAGGTGCACTCAGTGCGCACTAGTGCATCCAATCGAATTCGCCAACACTATAGCAAAGTAAATATATGACATATGTGTGTATATATAGATTCAGTCTTTGACTATATTCAGTATAAATTATTTGAATAACAATATTAACTATTTACCTTAAATATTAATTAGATATTGTATTGATTTTAATATTTTATTTAAATATCAGTAATAAAATACAAACTTATGATAATTATTATAATTACAATATATGTTAGAAAAAATCTTATAAGAGATTGGACATACATATATTAAATTCAAATACAGAAAAAAGTAATTAGTTAAGTATTACTTAAAAGAAAGAAAGCATTGTAATTTAATAAATTAATTTGTTGATGTGTTGAACATAAATATACAAAAATATAATAAATATAAATAAAAAAAAATATAAATATAAATCAAGATGTTTATTGCATTTCATTATATTTACAAAAGAATATATATAAGTATATTAAATATAAGGCCAAATAATTTTTTATATAAATTGTTATTATAGTATAACAAATGTATAAATTTAATTATATATTTAGTATCCTATTCTGGATGGTGGTGTAGCGAAGTATTTCTTATTTCTTCTCACAAAAGTGCGGCTGTAAATACAGGTGAAATATGAAATAAGGAAAATATATGGTATGTGTATGCAATTATTTATGTACTACTCACCTAGAAGTGACAGGAGTATTGAAGAAACCGCGAGAGATACTACGCTTGAGAAGCGATTCTGTGGATGGCGTATGTTTCAATTCTCCTGGTTTTGGGGTAAAAGTGTAATTCGAATTCGTAGGGTTTACGTAAGTTGCCCAATAATCGGATGGAATTTGAAGTAAATTCTCTACTATCTAGAATGGAAAATATATTATATTTCCTATACGAATTATAATAATGCATTTAGAAATTTTTCTTACCGCAACTTGATGCTTAGTTTCGTTTAGCATGGTGAGAGATGGTTCCTGGGAACTGTAACCGACTAAAGTTGGTCCAAAGACCTTTGCAAGATTGCTGATAGGCATTTTACATTCAGCACTACTCGATACTCTCTGTAAATGTAACATCAAAAAAGCCAGAGTATCTCGGTTCGGTTGTGGCAGTTCCGATATTGCTTGATAAAGAGCGGCGTCAGCATCCTGTTTATCCGTCAGTTGTGTCGCACGTATAAAGTCCCCCAACAAACCGACAGTGATCAGCGGTTCACGTAAGGATCTATAAAATATAAATTCAAATATATATATTACATCTCTTTTACACACAGAATATATTTCGGGTGACATACCTGAGAAAATCTTTCAAGGTAGAACAGATGGTTGCAATATCGACGTTAGAAAGATTTGGGGCACCTTTGCCTTTCAAAAACTTTTCCTTGAGAGATTTGGCATCTGCGGCTGCTCCATTTACTCTATATAATCCCTGCTCGTTCATTCCGCGTAATTCAACCTCGTTAATGCAGTGAACTACTATGGAAGGTACCATGGGTGGTGTTATAGGTGTGTAATCAGCTATAGTGCCCTGTTTATGAAAATGATATTTAGTGAAGATATATTGACGCTAAAAATGTTTTTGACATAGAAATTACAATACTCACGGGTATACCACGTAATATAGGTGTATTTCCTGTTGGAACACATGGTAATGGTACTAAATCTTTACATTCGGTATGAACTGTAGCTTTACAATCTCTGCACCTCTGTACGATCTTTCCAAAACGAATTCTATTAACAAATAAAAAGACATTAACATTTTTCTTCTTATCCATAGCGAATCTTATGAAATTAATTGCAAGCTTTTTAATATGTCCATGTAGTAGTTGAATAACATTACTTTTTCCCACAAGGTGTGCAGATTTCTGGTTTAATAATAGTTTTTGCTACAAAATGATGATTTCTAGACATTTTTATACTCATGGTATAGCCACCAATATTTGGACTTGGTTTGCAAACATCCTCCGAGTCAGAAGTTGACGTAAGAATATCAGCCTTTGGTGCTGATGGCTAAAAATAAAAAAATTGTTTTCCACTATTAACTATGAACATATACTTTTAAATGTAAAACAATTAAATTATATAATTTAATAACGTACCGCTGTATCAATTGGCATTTTGTTTGTATTTAAATGCAATAATTTCGATTTGTTGTGTTCTGTACTACTCTTACGTCGTTTGCGTGAATTATGCGAGGAATTCTGGGGATCTGCATTTTCATCGCCGGGTATAGCCTCGATCGTGGATGATGCAGTAATTGCACCATCCTTTGGCATAACTACAGTAGTAGTTGCTACTATTCTATCAGAGGAGTTTAATTCTGTAGTTTTGTGCAATGTATTGTGCCGAGGTTTTTTGGAATATTCGCTACTCGGGCGATGCTCTTTCCATTCTCGCCTTTTCTGACTTTGCAAAATAGCGCTGGTCTCAAAGTCATCATCTGATCTTGATAAACAATTAAGATCACTCAATAATGAACCAGTAGAATTCAATTCTGCTATTGTGTTAAGCCTAAAATAATATGAATAATATAATAAAACATTGTCATGTATGATCCAATGTAATTATCAGCTTTTAAGTATAAATGAAGCTATTTACTTGTCAATGGGTACATCTTGAATATGTGTGTTACTTTGACGATTAAATGAAGTGTTATTAAGAAATTGTAATTTCTCTCTAGTTTCGTCATTTAGATTTTTCCCTCTATCATTAAATAGAAAATCTCTGGCTGTAGTAATTTGTTTCTCCTGGAAAAGATGTAAATATAAATATTTGATTTAAAAAAAATAAAGTATTCTTAGAAATAAAAAAAGTATCAATTACTAAATAATCTCTCTGATCCTCGACTGCACGACGTTTACGATTTTCTTCTTCCAAGTTTCTTCTTGCATGACGCAATTTTCTATCAAGACCCGAGATTTCGGCATGAGCCTTGTCCAAAGCTGAATGGAGTCTTTGACATTCTTGCACTGACGCCAGCCATTTCTGTCTCATTTCCTCTTGATTTAAAGCAAATCGTAAGAATTCTGCAAAGAGCAATATTAAAGCAACATGTTTATATCTACAATTTAACTATATATAATAGATTAATTTTTATAGTTAAATTATGTGTACTGTTTTTTAAAGTGATACATAAGTATACAGTATAAAGTATATAAGTATTCATATCAGGTTTGAAATTTGACGAAAAGAAGAAAAATTGTAGTGCAATTCAATGTAGCAATAACAAAACAAATAAATTTTATAATTATCTTAAAAAATTTGACCAAGGCTATCGTAAAGCTAAACAAATAAATAACTGAAATAATATCGATTATGTACGATTATTAACGAACCATCTTCGCAGGCACCATTTAGTAAGACGTTCGTACATCTCACCAGCTCGTCGTAAGTAGCTAAAAGTGACAACGACATCATTACTTGTTTTGTTATTTCTGCCGTAAACTATCACTCTGCTGACATGTCTGTAATAGTACGCACACGCGGTTTAGATTCAATGAAACGTTTGAGCGGTTAAAGCTATAAGGACAACCGTAGTCGGAGTTCAGAGTTTTGAAAGTTGTCCCTTTTCTAACCGTTAAGTTGATATGAACGACCTCTACCGGACAAAATGCGAATTAGTTCCATCATGCTACCAACTTTGATAACTGTGCTGCCAACCCTCAAGATTTTAATCAAGCTGCTATGTTCCGGAATATCACCGAGTGTCTCCATTTTGTCCTTATTTACCGAATGTTAAACAAATAAATTGATACCTGGAGATACTCGCGGTGTGATTCCTGAACGCAACCTCGATCAAATAATTATATTATGTTCTGATTATGGATTGTAATTTGATCCATTATTGCGTTTTCGAATGGAGTGGGTTTGAACCTGACCCGGGTCGGGTCAATGACGTCACATGCTCTACTTTGATTTCTGATTGGACGAGGTCATAATACTTTCGGGGGTCAAACATGGGTTAACCGACTTGGATTCAAACCCATTGCATTCGAAAACGCTATTAGATAAATCTAATTTTAACTTATTTTGTTCTCATTCTATTCTAATTTCTAATTTATGTGTGTGTACATTTTAAAAAAATACTTTTTACAATCGAAGTAACGTTGGAGCAATTGGACTTTATACACAAATAAAATTCATATTATGAGGAAAAAAATAAATACGCACAATTATATATAAACAAAATTCGACATATATTAAATCTATAGTTATTTTTACAATTTATATACATTAGTATAGATATCTTGTAATTAGTGTGTGCAATTTTAATATCTAATACATATTAAAAAAATTAAATGTTTTCATTATAGCACGAATCAAATTTGTATGTAACTTAGCATTCATTACTCCTTTACCAGAAACATGAATTATATATAACAGAAAAAGGTTTTTAGAAATTATCAAAAAACCTTTGTTTATTGCTTAAGTTTTAATACCATTTGAAGACTTTAAATTATCTTTTTCAATATATAATATTTTAAGCTTAGAGAGTACAGAAGTAAGTTCTGCTTGTATATTTGCTATCTTTGCAGAAACATAGATGGATTCCTGGAAACGCTTTTGACTGTTTTTCAAGTTTTGTGGGACCAATACACCAAACCATTTTATAGGGTCTTTTGGAACATCTGTATCATTGTTTAATTTTTTAAAACTGATGTCAAAACATGACTTAGTATCATTATTTTCATTTATTGTTTTAGTTTCCAAATCAAACAAGGATGTCACTGTGTCTTCATTATTTGGAACTTGTAACATACTGATATTCCCCTTTCCACGAATATATCTTGCTTTTGCCAATTCAATGTGACCATCCTTCAGCAAGCTTTCCATTTGAATAACTCCTTGAACTTTTTCCTCTATTAGTTCTAATTTACGTAACATCAACTCATCAATTTCTTCTGATAAAACATCTATGTTTTTACTCATACTGTAATCTGTAATTGTCAGCACAAAAATTTATATTTACAGTATATGCACGATGAGATTTTATCTGAAAGTAAAATATTAAAAAGATTATATATAGATAACATAAAACACAATTGATGTAAAAACATTCATTCGATTATTAAAAACATAAATATGAAAAATGTATAATTTAAGAATACGATTATTACTAAAAAATACTTTATTTTCTCAGTATCAAAAGTGAGATAACTAAATCAGTTAATTGTCAAAAAATACATATTTTATATATTATCTATCTTATATCAAACAACATACATATATATTAAATATCACAATTATTACTATTTAATAAATATCGACTTAACCTATCTTGCGAGTAACGTTCCAAATACCTTGTTTCATAAACAAATACAATTTGCTTCTCCAATCTTTTGTATTCTTTGAAAGAAATTCAATTAAATTCTTACTATATTTATCACAAATCAATTGACGTTAAGATTATTCTCGACTATTTTCGAGGTATGTGTATTGCACTTGCAGCACTTTTATAATTAATAAATCGTTCTCTCTCTCTCACTTTTCATTCTCTCTCTCCACCTGCACTATAGCGAGGCGGGATTGCAGATAATAATTTTATTTATTATGTTATAAGCATAGCGATTGGTTGGTCAATTGCAAAATTCGATTCTTTAGCAGCCTTTTTTTCTTTGTAAAAAATAGTAAAAAAAAACCAAAAAAATGTCAAGCAAAGTATTTTTGTGAGATAAAATATAAGTAAAGTACAGAAATGTATCTACACCGATTGCACTACGAATAAGGTGCAGAGTGATCGTGGTGAATGTATATATTTTGATTCGAGTATTACAAAAATTTCAGCAAAATTCGACGAAACTAATTATTATTGAACTTTTTAGAAACAGATATATAAGATAAAAAAATTGAGAAGTAAGAATATATTAAACTTTTAATCACGTGTTATATAACCTCAAAAGGAGATTAAAGGCGTAAAATTGATCAATCATAAGTAAACCCTGTATTTTTTTTAGAAATATTAACAAGTATTACATAAAAATGACTACACCCGTATTGAGGCACAGCTTATCAGCTAAAACAGGACCTATGAAGGGTTTGCGGAATATCTTGGCACAACCTACTCAGAATTTCTGGTATTTTTACACAATGTTAATTTTGGAGTATTTTAAATTTGTTTTAATAATTTAATGTATTAAATATTTAATGAAAGATGAACATTTATTTATAAACATCATTGAAGCTAATATTTTACTAAAGATAATTGCAATTTGTACTTATTTTTACAAAATGTTTTCTTAGGCCAGTTATCAATGTAGATCAATATCCAGAGTTGATGACAAACTTAAATACGTAAGTATGTAATCTAAAATATAAATAATCTCAACAGATATCATTTTTAATTGTGGAAATTTTTTATAGAATATTACCATCAATAAAGAAATCTAATCGTAAAATTCCTAAGGATGTACTTAAAAACCTAACAAAAGAAGCTCGTGCATTAGCTAGAAAAAAAATGTTAGAAGAAGCACCTCCAAAGCCAGATATATTGTAAGTATTCTTTGTATTATACAGTTGTAAATAGTTTAAAATTTTATCTGATTTATAAATTTTAGGAAATTCATGATTATAGGTATTAATGAAGTCACTCGAGCTTTAGAAAAGGATAATGTATGTAGCATCTTATTAGATGCTAATATTGATCCACTTATGCTAATAAAACATATTATTTCTATGGCAGTGAACAAAAAAATACCTGTTCTTATGCTACCCATGTTGAGAACAGTCACAAAAGAAAAGGGATTTCCCTCAAGAGTTCTTGCTTTAAAGGTAATATATTAATATTTTATCATTTTAAACATTTTTTTGTAGACATTTCTCAGACGTTTGTTATTTGAATTATTTCTTACAGCAAGAGGTAATGCAGTGTCCAAATAATGTCTGCTATCCAATATACAAATCAATAGCAGAGGCTTTTAAAGACTTTGAACCACCAGAATGTTTGCTTCATTGTTTTAAACCTGATAAAAGTACAATGTCTAAAACCGAGATCACAAACAAGAATTCTGATACAAAGCCAAATATTTCTAAGCCGGAAAAATCTGTTGTAGTATTCACAGATGTGTATAAATACAGATCTTCACGAGATAAAAGAGTTTTCATACCACCAACAATCAACACAAGTTCTGAAGTTTCTCAAACACTATCAGATAACTTTATTCCTTCAGACAGTGATCTTGATACTAACGACAAAAATTGTGCAACTATATCAAAGAATAAAAAATATATAAATATTGGCAAGGAAGAAAAACATACACTAAAATCTGAAAATATAGAAGAGAATCAGTCTTTTAATGAATTGAGATTAATACAAAATAAGATAGATTCAATGAAACAAACAAACATATCAAGTTCTCAAATCTCTCAAAAATCGGATGACTTTATTGCTTTAAACAGTGATCTTGATTTTGTCATCGATAAATATTGTGCAAGTACATCAAAGAATGAGAGATATGTAAATATCGGCAAGGAAGAAAAACATACACTAAAATTTAAAAATACAGATGAGAATAAGTTAAAATTAATAAAAAATGAGGTAGATTTAACGAAAAAAACAAAACATACATGTATATTAAAAAGACCCAGAAATGATGAACCTAATTATTTATCATTAAAAATAAAATGTACACAAGGAAATAAGAAACGAAAAAAAGCAACCAAATTTGCTAAGAAAAAGGGATAGTAGCACTTGACTTGATTCAGTGGTAGAATTGTTGTCCAACAAGAACAAAAAATCTGGATATAATTGTCAGTATTATTCCGCATGTGACACAGGAATTTTAAATGGAAAAATATTCTATTGTGTGTGATAAATACAAGGAGCAAAAAATATAAATCAAATTAATAATGACAATAAGAAGGGCTATGAGCCAAAACAATTTGATTTTATAAAACAATGGGACTATTTACATATAAACGTTTCAACACCGATCGAGTCATTATCAATGTTAAATAAAAATTAAAAAGACCAGTAAATCTTAAGAGTAGTACTGTATAATTACTATTGTCATTACTAATTTTATTATTGTTGAGCAATATAAATTAAATTCTAAAACATAACTCACATAATATTAGAAATAAGAAATTTGTATCGCTTTGAAAATCTATAACAATCACAATCAGTTTTCCAATCGTCTAAGGTGATCAAGTGTAATCATATTTGTCTTATTTCCTATTAAAAAATTGTCAACAAACTATGTATTTCACACTTAACTTCACAAATAAATTTTTATATTTGTAGCTGAGGTTTTTTTTTCAAACATTGAAATTTAGTTAACTCTCCAGTTGAGTGCGGAAAATAAATTCTGTATAAGAAGAAAAATAGAACAAAAAATATTATGTACAGTAATAAAAATATATTTTATTATGATTACATTATTTATACAAATTAATCCTACTTTTTTCATTATCAAAATTTACTTGTACTAATAAATAGAATTGTATTTATTAATGTAAGTAATATAACTCGATTAAAAAATTTCTATCCATAAATTATAATAAAAATATAGTAATCTTCCATTTTTACACATATAAATTATACATAATATGAGATTAAGAGCATATAAATTTTATATTGTATGTATGAAAATAAATTCAAATTAGTCTTCTTGGTAATAATTTTAATAACATAATAATTAGATATTAAATAAATGATAAAATTCATATTTAATATCTATATTTTATATAGACTTCTATATAGTGTTTTCAAAAATTTTGCAAAAGTTGGAGATGAGTTTTTATCATAAACTAGTAAAATATATCCTAAGCATAGTAATGTTTCTCACACAGGTAAACTTGATTTCACAGATGATTTAAATATTCTTGTAAAGAATTTCAGACCAGTTGTACCTCCTGGTATATGACTTATTAAAAAAGCCAATGTAGCTATCAACTGTAAGATAGCACATAATACTGTCAAAGGAGTCGATTGCAAATGCAGAGCAAAGTAAAGTGTGCCTGTTAATGTTGCAAAGTACAATATGGTAAAGTACTTCTTCTCAGTTAGGAATAATGATCTCATATAACTTGATCCCCATAAAAAACAGAAGCTGGAAGAAATCTTTTATTAGAAATATGATATATTCTTCTCATATATTTTCATCTATACATCATATTACTTTATAAATATGTATATATGTACCTCATTAGAAAGAAGAGACTTCCTAAGGAATAAAGTAGAGCAAATTTTCTTGCTTTAAGTAATAAAACAGGAATATAAATTGCTGATAGACAAAAGCATAACAATCCCATTAGAAAACATACAGCAAAGGATATGAGTCTTTGTGTTCTCGTCTAGCAAAAAAATTTTTTTTTATAAAAAAACAATATTCGAAATTATTGATATAAATTTTATTCAACAAGAATTATAGAATAAAGTCCTTAAATCTATTTAATTTTTATTTACGTATTTATACTTTTAAATATATTGATTAAAGACGGATTTTTTATAACATGGGCGGTTTTTAACAAATTTACATTAACAAAAGTTGATTGAATTTGATTTCACAATTTCTTTATAGAAATACAAAAATTCTTCAACAGAAACTTGAAAAATATCAAATACACAATACCACGTACGCAAACAGTTGCAATACTATTATTTACTTGACAAGTTAATCGTCAGATTAAATGCATTTAGAGACAACGCTTCAAATTTTAAATGATTAAGTCACGTAGCATGCCTTACTGCTTTGTATTAACATTTTTTAAGTTAATCAGAATTTTAATTCAGTCAACATCAGTATCCGTCGAGTCATTAAGGTTATGAGACAATGCCGTACCATGGTAGGACAACATTCTCTCTGCGATCTTTGAAACCATCCTGTATTCTCTAGGTTCTCCTCCGTCTTGTTGAGATTTTTTTCGAATAATTTCGATACTGCTGTGAAAGGAGGTTCCATTACTTTTTTCCATAGAAAAGGGACTCGGACTGCACGTTCCTCATCTTTGATATTGCGGAGAAAATCTTTAATCTCCTCGTACTCGGCGTGATGGGCGTAATCGGCCATTTTGACATCGGATTCATCCTGATGCCATTGATATGTAAACAATAAACGTTACCAATTGTGAGACAAACCGCTTTTATCGACAATAAATAAATGTTTAATAAACCAACTACTTTATCGACTACAGGGACTTTTATCGATCGCATAAAACCTAATATATTGGGTGTGTTGCCATAAGAAATTGACCAATCATAGTTGAATGCGAGAAAAATTGACTCTGATTGGTCAGATGTAGGAAAACTGAAAGTATGTAAAAAATATTTTTCCAGATTTTTTTACTCTTCCCGATTGTTAAAAAATTTGTTAAAAAGTTTATCGTTAAATAAACAATGAAAAACGAAATCTTTTCGGAACGTTAATATATTTTTCCCGTAAACTAGAACATTTTTAGCGTGAATTAAAAAAAAACGAAGTCAGCTAGCATAAAACGTTAATATATTTTTCCCGTAAACTAGAACATTTTTAGCGTGAATTAAAAAAAAAAACGAAGTCAGCTAGCATTATTAGCAACAGAGAGATATGAATCTTTGCAGAATAATTAAGTAGTTTAATTTTTTTTAATTGTTTATATCTCGAAGAATTTTGCAATAAAAAAGATTCCTTTGACACAAAATTTTATCTTCCAGAGCACTGTGTGCAAAATTGAAAAAAATTCTGAGAGATGATTTATCTGCTTCACGCGGAATAGCCCATATATATATATTCAAGTTAGAAAGTTATAGATATATGTATAATTATTTACAGTACAGCTTAATATAAATTTGATGCGAGACATAGATAACTATTATTCCTCACGCGTGAATAAAATACCACAATGGGTTTTCAAACTTACATTTATTTAAACAAATCAACATTGACCTCATATTTACGGATTGTATACTGTATTTGTTGCACAGAGGATGCACCTTTCTATACGCGAGATCTACGCATCTCGCGACGCATCGTATCGTTTGACAAATCATTACGGTCGTGGATAGAGGGCGGACGGACTAGAAACAAGTCTCACGTTATCACAATGTAATATCGCGTTAGAGAGCATTACTTATAATAATCGTAATAAATAATGTCTAATAATAATAATGTCGTTCTCGTGTGAAGAAGAGGGATGAATATATACTTAATAGGCGCAAACGTAACAAATATAGCGCGGGAACTCAGACACGACAAATCGAATCACACGCGAAATACAGTACATACGCTACGGAATATCGTCAATAATCTCAGGTTCCGCTTTATCCGTCATATATAATTTTTTTTCTTGTGTCTTTTACCGCTAAATACGTAACTGCTCACGGCCGCTTGATCTCTCGATTATACGATACATAGGATGAGACTGCTAATTATTCAACATGAAGATCTCTAAACTTATTCTCACATGCGCCGCGAAACGAATTCACCCTGGGAGGGATTGAGATGCCTGTCAATTGTCAATTGGTATTGCATATGCTTAATCGCGAAACTCCGTATATGTAAGCTCAAGGGAAAGTACAAACGAGCGCTAAAGTACCGTGTGTGGTGAACCATTTGTTCGTTTCAATTTAACTTGTGAAGATATAATACTCGTTAGTATAATTCTGTCGTAACGAACCTCCGAGGTTCACGAGATATTCCTTCAAAAATAGCTTTCGGGACGAGAGAGGAAAAAAAAAAAGAAACGATTTGCCAAATCTAATCCTTTATTATTCTCCTTTGCTACTTGTCAAAGTAGAAAGCAAAAGAATGAGGCATTTGCGAAATCTTTCCTCTCGTTCGCCACATTTTCTTTATGTATACACGGATTTACGCGACTAAGCATATGTATGCGAGTATGCGTGCGCTTGTATACATTATCATTCTCTCTCTCTCTCTCTCTCTCTCTCTCTCTCTCTGTCTCTCTTCATACGTATAAGTATGTACGTCTCCTCGTGGACATAAATTCGTGTGTATTTTCATTAACTATATACTTTGGCTTGTCCTCACACTTCACTGCGCACCTCCGCCTTCTGCTTTAACGCTAATGGCAGCACGGATACAAGTTTGTTTTTATACTGTAATAGCGTCCTCTCAGCGCATACACGTGCCCTATTCATTCTGCTTTATTATTCGAACGAACGCGAGTCCGCGTCGTGCATATACATATACGTACATTCGTAAATGTGTATACATACATATGCATACACGGCCCGTCCACTGACAGCCGTGCGCGCGAATGGCGGTATAGGCGTCCCTATTCGGCTGATAGTGAGTACGCGACGTAATCTCGGTTTTTTTTTTTTTTTTTCCTTTTAATGCTATGTATAATATCGTACAGTACGTAATGGCGCCGTAATAAACTGCTATGTGTACGCACTACGAGAGGGGAGAAAACTATATATATATATATAT